GCCTTTGCATCAGCTCGTTTATGCTATTTAGCGTCAAATTTCAAATGTGCGACATCCATTTCCAGATGTTATTTGATTTCACGTTTAATCGTGTAAATTTATCGATACACATTTATAACTGATAAGCAGAAATAACGCATCGTCAAGAAAAATGTTTTTTTATGTTTTTAAGAATGCGAAAATAATTTGTATCATTTCACTTTTTAATATAAAAATTATATTTTCACGCTTATTTAGACTTCAAGATTTTTTTAAAGGAAATTTTGATAAGTTCTCGCATTCGGCAATGGCCAATGATCTATGAAATTTTCCTAGTTTTGCTAGCTCTTTTGCTTTCTCCGATTCGAAATACATTTTTCACGCTAGCGGACATTGATTGAGTGCACCTAAGGAAAGTAATATCGTGAGAATTTACCAGTACCAAGTTTTGTTCAGCATAAGATATAGTGGAAATGAGCTACTCTTTTTTTCTTCGACAATGTCCATCATCAAATTCAAATTATATCTAGTCGTTTAACTATCGAAAAATTATCATTGAAGCATTATAATAATAAAAATGATTATTAACTATGAAAAAAAATACTATATAAAAAATTACAACATATATTCACACATCAAATCTCAATTGAAAAATCGATGTTAATGTCTCTAAATAATTGAGATATTAAATTTTGCTCATCGGCTGCATGTAATATTGCAATCGGTAAGCAAATAAATTTTATATCGCATTAAACAGTGATAACACGAATGTATTAACGATCTCGAGAAGCAATCTCGTCCGATGATACAGAAGGAATTTGAACGTATCGAAGAAACGACTGACGAGAGAATTGACATCGAGGAAATAAAAAAGGAAGCGTAAGAGAGAAAGGTCAGGACGCAGTTCTGAACGTTCAGAACGACGACAAACGAAGGTAAAGATGACTGGTCAGATTTCTTAAGTGTTGCCCCAATCAGATCCCATGTCACTCGGTTCATTAATCCATTCAGGACGAACTCTGAAAAGTTCCGTCCCGCGCCATATTACAGAATTACATTTCGTTCGCGCACTTAATGACGTGAATACGTAATGGTCGTTCGAGTCGCGCGTACTCTCGAGCGTAACGAGATCCAATCGAGTTATCGTATATATACGTACTATATATATATATATATATATATATATATATATATATATACTCCTGGACAAAATTAACGCATAATTTTTTTTCACTTTTTCTATAAAAATTGATATTTAAATTTTAACGAAAAATTTTAAAGAAAAAGTGGAAAGATATTATGCGTTAATTTTTTTCACTTTTTTAAAAAATTTTTCGTTAAAATTTAAATATCAATTTTAGAAAAAGTGAAAAAAAAATTATGCGTTAATTTTATATATATATATATATATATATATATATATATATATATATATCTTATAATATCTTATAACCCTTTAAGATGTACAATTCTAATGCGCGAAGTCCTTAATCTTTCGATATAATTTTCGATGCAATCAATGCAAAAAAGAACACATATTTATTTGTATTATTTAATAATCTTGCAGTTCCGTAAATTCTTCTATCTCTCAGTACTAAAAATGTCAATTTATAATGAGAATATATTATATACAAAGATAGATCCTGCGTAAATAACTCATGACTGATTAAGGGGCGATCAAGAAGATAAAAAAAATTAGATATGACGATTTTTCAGAGGGTATCTCAGAACACACACAAGATTTATCTTAAAATTTATCTCGCCTAATGCGGGGTCAATAATGACACCGATAACAGTAAATCATCTGATATTTGACATCCTCTTCGATTACATTACGCCCAAGGTGCATCGCGCGTCCGCGAGTCGATATCGCTCGCGCGTGGCGATTATGCTCACGCATAATATCCGGTGAGGATATATTCGCGCGCGCGTGAAAGAAGAAAATCACATCGAGCGAGAAGAAGAAGAAGGAGAAGAAAGGGCCAACCACGAGTGCCGATCTCGCCGGATCGCTCGCTCGACCGAGGATTTGCAAACAATGGCGCCTTAGCGCGCGGCGCGTTCTTTCGATGGCGGCTCGATACGTATCGCATTTACATATTATTGCTATTATTAGGTAAACGATCCTCCGCCGAGCGCCTCTTTAACACTACTCGCTCGCTCTCCGGACTATTTTACGATCGTGAGGACCTCGCGCGCGGCGAGGCACGGGGCCCCCTCGCTCCGATAAAAGCCAAGCTTTAAGCTTCGGTCCGGCGACAAAAATTGAAGCACCGCCCGGGCCGAGAGAGTGGGTGGCTGGAATTGTAAATAATCGTCCTGCGGGGAGATCCTTATCGGCCGTACATGGCGCTATCCTGTCCGCGCCGCCAGCAAGCGGGCTATCAATGTCCATGGCATCTACCCCCTAAATCGATTTCGAATTGGCATTTCTAAATGTATATAAATATATAAGTGGTACGTTAAGAGTAAAGGCAAAAGGTTTATCGAACTTAATTTCGATTTTTATTTCGGAAGCGCGGTACCCTTTTTCTAATCTACATAATTGATTTTTTTCATTAAAAGCGATTAATGGATCCTCTGATATCTTTTAAAACATGCTTGAAATCTTCAATTGCGTGTGAGATTATATTCATGATATCTATGAATTTATGCTCTTGTCATTTTGGAAATAAGAAATGTTTTATATATATAAAAATTTAATCTTATTAGAAACAATGATATTAAATTAATTATTTAAAATAAAATGTATACTTGAATACTCTTTTGTACATATCACCATCCAACATAAACAAATAAATTTCATAAATGTTTTTAGATTCAACATTTTCTGAAATTTATTATGCCAAATGTAACTTGGATAGTATCTCGAAATAAGAATTATAATTTTTTTATTTACATTTCTTAAAAAAAATTTGATAACAAGTTCAATATCTTTTACAAACATTTCTGATATATGATTGAAAAAGAGAGAGATAGAGAAAGATTTGGTCATCCTGTATTTTCAGATATAATCGCCCCGCATTTCTCGATATTTCTCTTTTTAAGCACGCCAACGGCGTGACCGCGTAGCTAGACCGCATGACGCCGGACCCGAATTAAAACCGCGCTTTTACGGCTCGGGATTCGCCCCCATCGCTTCCGAGGAGTTCGAACGAGACAAAAAAGATGATCTGATAAAACAGAACACGCAGAGCTTGAAGAAGAAAGAGAGAGAGAGACGGGAGGAAGTTCGGAATCGCGGTGAGGAGGAAGATATGGCAGAAGGATCGGGGAAGCGGGATGGAGAGGATTGTATGCGAGTGGATATGCGCATACAATGGAGCCAGGGAGAGCAAAAGCGGCGAATTAATTGTCGCTCGCGCCGCCGACGAAGCCGCTGCGATCTGCGGGGCCTGATTTGTGGACCGCGCATATATATCACCGTGGGCCACACGCACGCGTATGCGTGAATGTGTCTCTCCCTCTCTATCTCTATCTTTCTCTTTCGCTCTTTTCCACTCGGAATTCGCGACGGAGATTGCGAAGACGATGTGACTGTACTGAGATTGCTGCTAGTGGCTGACAATGGAAACAAGCTCAGAAAAGGAGAAGGTACGTGGAGGAAAGAAGATACATGTATAAAGGAGAAATTGGAAGATAAAGAGGGAAGAAGAGAGACAGAGAGAATAGAAGAGAGAGAGAGAGGGAGGGGAGAATACGAGAAAGAGAAACGAGGAGAGAAAATGGGAATAAGAATAGGAACGAGAGAACGACATACGATGCTGAGGAGCGGGAGGAAGGGAAGATCGGGAAGGGAGAGGGGTGACTTAAGGATCCGCAGAAAAAAAAACAAGGTAGAGAAGCTGGACGATACTACGAACAATGCGCCAACCGGGTCCGCGAGTTTCCCTCCGTCGTCCCTGCCTCTCCCTTCTTCTTCTCCGTCCCTGTTTCTCGCCGCGCTCTCCGTTTCTCTTCGCTCTCTTTCTTATTCTTGTTTATTATTCAATGGGGCCAGAAGGTGCTCGTTAATTGATGGCACCGGCCATGGCCGAACGGGCGGCGCGGAAGAAGGAAAGAGGAAACCGAAAGGAGAAAGAAAAGGAATCGAAACGGACGGAGGAAAGGAAGCGCTGGAAAGGATGAGTGGGAGGAGGGCAGCCTCTGGACCACCATCGCCTTATTTATAATGCCGGGGATAACCGAATTCACGATCAAAATCCCGCGTTCCGCGGCATTGATGGATCACCGTGCGCCGCGCGACGTCGCGACGACTCCGGTATTTTCAAATGAACCCGCCCCTTTTTCCTCATGATGCCTCCGCACACGAGAGAAGAAGCCCGGAGGGATGGGGGTGGAAGCCAGCCGTATTCCCCTGTCCTCTTCTCGCACGCTCCGCTCTCTCCTCCCCCTACCCTAGGATGACATCGACGAATTCCGCGGAGCAACCTGCTGCCGCTTCGGAGATGCCTCTGAGGGATTCGATTTCTATATGCAGGTGTTCGTTTCTTCGATCGGATCGATAGCGAAGGACCGCAAGATCGGATCCTGTCCGATATTTTTAAAGAGCAAAAAAATATAACTCAAGAGAAGTTAATGAAATAAATGTAGATAAATTTCATTCGATTGAAACATCTGTATTAACATGGATATTCATTCATGTTGCTTAAGCATAGTTTTTATCTTAAAAACTACAGAGAAAAATTACTTGTCAAACTGAAACGAATTTTTTATTTGAACGAATTTATCGCGTTATATTATTAATTTTGAAATATATATAATTGTATGTCTTTTCCAATGCTAAAATTATTTCTGTAACTTATACAATTTACATTATTAATTAAACAACGATATAAAACTAAAATATCTATATATCTTTATTATCTTTTGTCATTTATACTTATATTAATAATTTTACTAATTCGAAAATAATTAAATATAAATCATTGCACAAAGTGATAAAAAAGATATCTTTCAACTCCGTGAATGATGTACAGGATAGAGGTTTTATAATGAAAATTATTTTCGAATTGTCGCAGATTGCTCGGCCGCGGTTCCATGCATGTGTTCTCCAGCGAGCAATTTCAAAAGCTAATGGACGCAAGCGGCTTCACGGGCCCCTGGCATTCCTTAGTGGACCTCGGGGCAGGTGATGGCGCAACCACCGCCCACGTGGCGCATCTCTTCGAGAAGGTGTATGCCACGGATATTTCACCCCCCATGAGATGGGCCCTGGCGAAGAGGAAATTCACGTATGTAAATTATATTAAACGACAGCGCGTCTGAATTCTTTTATATTACCGATTTTTTTACTCGATTTTTAAAACAGTAGAGTAATAACGCTAACAATAATAATAAATTAACCTACTAGAAAAATCTGCAATCAAAAGTCGATAATAATAATAATAAATTATTACAGTTGTAATAATCAATCGCATGATTCAATTTTATTTCAATTTAAATTTCTAACGTACGAAATATGTTATTTATATACATTTATTCTGATTTTTTAATTCTACAAATGTAGTTAAAGCCAATCTTCAATTTCTAAAAATTTTTAGAAATTGAAGATTGGCTTTAAAAGATTTACTGTCATTGTGTATTTTGCGGATATTTTTGTATTATTTATAATAAATAGATAAATTTTATTAAGTAAAATTTACATAAAAAGGCAACAAAAAATTTGATTAGTGTATTTGAAATAAAAAAAAAAATGTTACGAAATCAATCGTTATTACAGTCATCGTATGTGCATATGCAAAGGCTATTCGATCCGAATATCTCGGAAAGAATCCCTACTGACTGGGCGAGAATTTTTCAACTACAAAGCTCCTTTGCGAGCGCGGAATCGCATATGCGAGAACGTGAAACAGATTACATTCTTCGAATCGAATACGACCAAAGGTGGGCGGTGGAATCTCCGTTGCTTGAACGTATTTGCATTTTCTCGGTGACACACAGATTCGCGCGATACGTATTTTATTAGCATCACAGTTTAAAATGCAATTCTACTTGATGTTCTCATTCCTGTGAAAATTATTTAAAATTCCTACGATTATTTATACTATCATACATGACAATAATTGCATTGTATTTACAGACTATTTTATTCAACGATATTTTTCGCGATTGATTCTTAATCAATTTGGAATTTTTCCATCACGACCATTTTTCTAGATCCACAATTTTCTTTTCTCTTTTATTTTTCTTAAATTTCTAACGAATTAAAATGTATTTGCAATTAAACGAATGATAATGTTTTGTTATGTATTATTCTTGAAGCTATATTCTCAAAAATCTCTCAATTTTCAATGGTTTATAACAAAATAATTATTGTTGCCTCGACACTATTATCGTGAAAACATTCGTCTGTGAGAAAAATCATAGAAAGGGAAATCATTTAAAAGGATTCTGGTGAATCTGAATTATTCTGTACAACCGTAAACATCTAATTCTTTATAGGAAGATTATGTCGAGAGAGAAGAAAAAGGATGCATTCAATTTATGCAAATGAATGTAACGTGAATTGGATCAATAAGAGATCAGTGTGCGGATGTTCGCGGTTACTTGATACAGATTCTCGATAATGTAAGCGAGCGCGATTATGCGCGTCGTTCCCGAACGAATTGAGGGGCTATCACGAGTGGTATTATTACGGTTATCTCAAAAACGTGGGTCTCATTATAAAGTGAGATAAGATAATTGATCGTCGGGCTCGGTTCATTCTCGCGCCAGATGATGTATATAAAAGCAGCACGCTCGTCGACACGCTTATATGTCGACGCGAAATATCATCAACGCGGCAACGCCAAGTGACAAGTTCATTGCGCCGAATTGATTGGAATACAAATTTGCGATGATTAGAGTATAACTTTACGCTATCAACGGACACCATCGCCGAATTGCTCTTGGTCACTATTCGAATTTTAAATGAATCGTGAAATAACGCGACGGATTCATAACTCATTTTATAGGAATTCTACCCAAGGATATTCTCCGGTTATTTTGCGTAAAATTAGCAGGAGACTAGACTTCTGTTCGATATTCGCGTTTCTGAAAAATTATTTACATCTCGATATTTTGTCGAGGAAAACAAGCTCAATTTTCATCGCCGATTAACTCACAACATCTAGAATTTAGATTATCTTTGAAAGAACTTTTTTTAGAGGAAATATCGATTTTTTTTACTATAATTATAGCCTATTAAGAATAAATATATTTATAATTATGGCCTATTAAAAATAAAAAAACGATTGAATTAAAACTGGTTTTGTGAAAAATCCGCAGAATCAAACTAAATCATCACCACAAAAAATCAAACTAAATCATCAGACTAAATGATCTCAGTCTGATAATTTTCACGCATGTATTTATTATATTAATGAAAAACTTATTAAACTATTAACAAGATGATTTAAAAATAAATAATAATAAGAGATTAATATTTTATTTTGTTATTAATGGGAATTTTTTCGCGTATGACTATCAAACATCTTATGAGATTTTCTATATTTCTTCTTAAAACAAAAGTTAAGTAAGATAAAATGCTAGAGTTTAAGAATTACATACAAACCTATAAGTAATCCGAGATGCAGAAAATTTATCTCTAAACGTATCTTGGTTTTTACACGCTTTTATATAGAGTACTCGATGTGGAGAGATGGCACCAGGAAGCCGGCCCCTTTAATGTCATTCTCTGTCTGAATCTTCTCGACCGTTGCGACCGTCCAAACACCCTGCTGAGGCTACTGAGAACTTCGCTGGCTCCTGGCGGCAGATTAGTCGTCGCTCTGGTATTGCCGTTCAGTCCCTATGTCGAGGTCGGTGAGAGGGGTAATCACAAACCGTCGGAGTATCTGCCGGTGCGAGGAAATGGACTCGAGGCTCAAATAGCCGGACTAATCGACAGAGTTTTCGCTCCGGTGGGTTTGCGATGCCTTGTCTGGAGCAAACTGCCGTACCTCTGCGAAGGTGATCTGGGACAGTCGTACTACTTCCTGGACGATGTGATCTTCGTTTTGGAGGCGCAGCCAGTTAATACACGATCCTGCGAATTTGTCGCGATAGACAATAGCGTTTCGTTGCAAAAAAACTTTTAGTCTTTAAGGCCTAGCAAACTATGCGGAAGAGATTGTGAATAAAGAAGACATTGAAGGAAAGAAGGGGTTTGAAAGGTATAAATAAAGAAATAAGAGAATAATACGCGAAACAATCCTTTCACACTTGTAAAAACTTTAATAATTGCTGTCATGAGTTAGAATTATGCGAGAATACAGAAGAGCAATACTGGCAAGCGACGACGAGCTTAATGTGCAGACACAGCGGTTAGCGTTTGGTGTACGAATATTGATTGGCGATCCGAGTTTAAAAAGGGAACAACGGATCGGCACAACAGTGCGCATTTTACAATCGTTTATCATCTTACTGTCGAATTCGGTGCGGAAACACGGTGTACACGGTTTTCTATGGTATAGATAATAACGAGAATAACGAGATCCGGAAACAAAATCTGTATTTCGTTTTCTTTTATCCTTTTCCTTGTTGCTCGACTCCGTTCGAGAACATCCCTCTAAAATTCAAATCTTTGTAGTATGTCTCGCTAATTATTTATAATGATGAACAATTAAATGAACAAAAATCGTGTTCTCAAAGAAGAATATTAAAATTATTCTATGTATATATGTGTGTGTGTGTGTGTGTATATGTATGTGTGTGACAGTGACACTATAGCGATAAAATTAATGAGTCGCAGTGACACTACAACGATCAAGTTAATCTTTACAAAACGGGTAACGAATCTTTTTAGACTTTAAAATGATAATTTAATTTAAAAACATAAAACGCCGCGCGAGGCGACGATATCATTAGATTCAAAGTCTAGAACAAATGTAAAATGGAGAGTAAAAAACCTACTGCAGTCTTATAACTTTTGCTTTGAGAAAATACACTTCTCCTCACATATTTTGAGCAATTGCATAATTGTGTTCAAATAATTAATAGGCGAAGATAGATTATAAGTTTATCTCGAACGCAGTCCCCAATATATGTCTCACGAGATTCTATTTTGTATGTCAGATCAACTCTTTTTATCAGACTCTGTTTCCGCGCTCCTTTTTCTCCATTTGGCATAAGTTGCAGCGACTTAGTCATGGATATGCTTAATTGTGCATTGGTTATACGACCGACCAATTGCAAGACAAACGATAATACGTTTGCATTTCTTTTTTTTTATGTAATAAATAACTACTATAAGAAATAAGTCTATCTAGTTATTGGAAATACACTTTGGTGTACAACAAGTTATCGTCGAATTATGAACCATATTGCAGCAGCCTCTTTGTCAATATATACGTATATGCATGTCAACAAAAACGCAGTCTATAGAAGCCGGATCTGCGTTCGTTTAAACAATCACTCCCTGTGAAAAATAAATAAAGAATACTTCTATTGAGAAAATTATTTTTCAGACTTGTTAATCGTATATCTGCATGCATCCCATTTCTAACTACACAGATAACTGCACAGAATGAAAGAGAGAAAATATAATATGAATGTTTATAAATATAATATGAATGATTAATAATCTGATGAGAAAACAAAAATAACAAAACAAACAAATATTAATACTTTGCATCATGGATCCGACTCCTAAAATGGTAATTGATCGGCACATTCGCTGCATACGTGTGTAGTAAATATAACAGATACATGTATATAGAAAGACATCTTCAACATACGCGCATTCATATAAAATTTTGCTATTTGATAGCCAAAACTCTGCATTCTCTCTCAGATATACACATACAGCCCCCACAAAACACAGCCCACGCATTCGAGTGCCGCGCGCTATTTTCCATTCGCGGTATACATCGCTTCTTACACATTCAAAGACGAATGTCTATTACTTTACATTATCGAGAAAGAAGGAAACATTTTATCTCGTATCGTTTATATGCGCGTATAACAACCGAGTGGAAAACGATTTTATTCCTGCAAGTGTTACGATATGCCATTTATTCTCGAGGCAGCGATCGATCGAAATCACAAACGCAGTCCTCCAATTCGTAGGTTTTATCTCGCAAGAGTAAAAACGTTTCTGCATGATAATACTTAGTGCACGGTGAAAAGTCTTTGAGCATCAATGCAAAATCCTTTCAAAATTTCCTAATGACGCAACGATTTTCGTTTCTTTTCTTTTACTATATATATATATGTATATATAGATATTTATATATATATATTAAGAAATAATCTGTTTCTTAAAAAATATCTATGAATTGACCAATGACTTTTTACGTGCACACCGCATATACTGCCCATGGAGCTTAAGAAATAGTGCACAGCTTTTAACATTCGTACTCGCGTGCTCGATTAGCGAACAGTTTTAGAAATAACAACAATATATATATATTCATTTTATCCTTAAAAATAAATAATAACACATTCATACCTTTTTGGAGAAAATATATACACAAATTGAACACACAGTAATTTTTTCACTAATTGAATAACATACTCCGCCTTAATATTAATTGAAAGCTACTGTAAAGAATATATATCTTATAAAACAAACAGTTAAAAACATATTAAAAAAAAATAACGTGAAACTTGGTAATTAAGAACATTGTCGTTCTCTTATGCATCTATGCTGCGAACGTTAAATATCAATTAATAGTAAAAGCTTTTGTACCAGGCCAATTTAGTTTTTGCTTCTTATTCCGAGACTTAAGCTTATATAACAATTTTATACATAGTATATAAAAAAGTCTTATGCGATATATTATTAATCAGGTAATCGTTGGAACACAAGCGGCAAAATTGTTAAATTGATACAGTAAAATATAAATGCTGTTCATACTGCGTTATTTGCGTCATAGCATCAATCATGATATTCGGCATATATAACGCGGGATTAATTGATATATTATTTACCGAATAAGCCCCATAGGCAGAGCAATTACAATACAAAGTCAAATTACAGCGATGAAATAAAGCTAGTAAGAATCCCTAAAATGACGCGGTGTGAGTTTAGTCCTACATATAAATCTTTTTTTTTCTCGCTACTCACGTTTATCACAGTCCACGCATGACTCATTTTGTCTCTTAGTATTTGAAGTCCTAAACGCCAACAACTTTTTTGAGCAATCCATCGGGTTGTTTAGATACGAAACACCCAGCTAATCAATAAACATCTTGTGACTAGAACATCATAGAGCGCAAAAAGACGAAACTTGGTCTGTCGCGAGTGAAGCGAAGACGATGCTTAATCTAACTTACGCTGCTCGCATAATTCTTCCATTCCACCAGCTTTTCTGTTAAGAAGATAAGAAGAATATATTAATGGATAAACAATAGAGCTAAAGTTTTAAATATTAAATAATGTTATAAATATTATAAATATTAAAACTCACAATGATGACAAGTAAGGAGTACCAGTATGATCTAATCGGTGTTTATCTTCATTCTTCCAGCTCGAAACTGGTATATGTGGAGGTGGCAAAAAGCTTCTCAACGATTGTACAAGCTGTATTGTATCAACCAATGCTGCAATTAGAAATAAACAATATAAAAATATCTATAAAATTACTTTATTAAAGAGAATCGATATGAAATTTCACAGTCCATTAAATTCATGATGGAAAAAAGAAAAATAAAGGAGAAAAACAACTTGTAAAGAATTGAAATTACTTTTCTGCAGAGCTTCAGATTGCTTGCCGTATGGTTTACACATCGCTGGCCGTACACAGGCCTTCATTCTTGCCATGTTCTTCATCACCTCTGCAAAAGCACGCACAATTTTCTCTTGACCACCTGAAACAATAAGATAAAAATCCAGCACATGCATTAATATAATTTTAATACTTTTTAAAATACATCTAAAAAGTGTACATTATATCGTGTATATATTAATTATCACTATACTAGTAATCACCTTCCGAATTTGCAGACGATGATCGAGATCCTTTTTCATTTTCTAAAGGCCATGCACCATTGTGCAATGCCAACAGATCTTTATTGGCACCTCCTATTCCTTGTAAGTTTCCTAAACCAAGTCCAGTGAGACTGTCCAAGTTATCCAAATTATTGCGTAAGAAATCTGTCAATTTATGATCAGAGATTGGTATATTGGGTATTAGAGATTCATAATGCTGTTTGCCAGATGGCACTTTTTTCTCTTGCGATACAGGCCGATGCGGAATATTTAATGATGGACGGCTTGGAGGACGTTGAAGATTCATTTGATTGCCAGCACCTCTTATTTCTGCTAAATCTGCTGCAGATCCTCCTCCCATATGTGTATTCGGATTAGCACTACCTAATGTCTACAAGTAAAAAATAAATGAATAAAATATATATATATATATATATATATATATATATATATATATATATTAGAAATATATATTAAATTAAAAAGATTAGCTCGCATAATAGCAAGTAAAAAATAGAAAATATCACATGAGAATTTCACTCACTGCCTGAAAATCTGTACTATGTGGAAAACCACTACGCAAAAGAGATGCAGTTGCTTCATTTTCCTGGATATAAGTTGGTGCCATGTGACCCATTTTTTGAGTGAGTTCCAGTTGATTTTTATAATAACGACAAGCGGGATTGGGACAGTTTTGCACGACTTCTATGATAAATTCCTTTTCCATTCCAAAACATTCTCTTCCAATAGTATAGGACTCCATGACTGCTCTAACTGTACCCTCCAAACCCAAATGTAAACCATGTGGCCCATTCATATGTTTCAACATAACAGCATTAGCAAAGTGTTCATATGGAAGTATTATCTTTCCATTCTCTCTGAGGACTAGTCTTCCCTGCGAATCCAATGCTACTCGAGATGCCATCATCCTATGAATAAACAGATGAAATATAACAAATGTTCGTATAAATTTATATAAATAAATTATATTTAAACAGTACTGTTTATCCTTACTGTAAGTAAGCAGTGCTCGGCATCATGCTGGCATCTTTAAATTCCGAAAAACATTGCAGAAACTCGATACTAGGATTCCATCCCTTATTTTGTAAATATGCTTGTAATAACATGTATATTTTCTCTGTGACGTAGCCGGCACTGCTTGGTGCAGCAGAGTAGCTTGACCCTCCTCCTGGTGGACCCATTTCTGTTTGCATACCTTTGGCAACAATGTTCTTCATAGTTTCCGCCAAGTCCATCCTAAGTGCATATATAATTGAATACGTAAACCTCTTGTCGCAATAAAATTTCCTTATAAATATAAATATAAATCCACTCATGATATATTCAAAATCGTAATTTTATATTACACATGACACTTGTGTGTAACAAGAAAGATTATTCCCCAGGAACAAAAAACGTGTATATAGAAATAAAAAATAAACGTACATAAATAAACAATTAACAGTCAGCTAACGCTCGATACAATCGACGCCTTGATAATTCCCCCTTCATCCGTTATCGCGCGCGATTCCACGACTCCGCGGAGGAGAGTCGTCGGGATCTCGCGGGTGAACGTCAGCGGACATTATCGAGGACGTTGCGCGCCGAGAGTCTCGCTGTTCGGAACTCGAGTGCAGTGCCTCGTGGCGAAACCGGCCGTCGAGATTCACCGAATCGGTGCGGTTCGCCCGTGCTCAGGCGAGTCGGCCGTCGACGACGGTGACACGACGCGATCGTACGTCATCGTCGTCGTCGTCATCGTCGAGCGTCCGGAGTGCGACGACGCCGAGTGCGCTCGCCGCACGACTCTCCCGGCACGGCCATTGTTATCGTCCCGAAGCGAGCCGGCGGAACCGATAAAAAAGTGCTCGGCCGCGAGCGAGCCACCGCCCCCCTTCCGACAACGGCGCAGGGGGGACACCGCGACGTACTCTCGGAGCGGTACACTCACCCCGTATCGCGGCCGCCGCTGCTCCACTCACGTGGCGTAGCCGGATAGCCCCCAGGAGCCCGTCCGTCGCCGTTAATCGCCGTTATTCGGCATCGCCTAATTAATTAAGCGCCCCCGGATCACATTTGCAAATAACATAAATCGCGATAATTATTTCCGCGAGGGTCACTTGCACGGTCCGCCGCCAGGGGCGCCCCGCGTCCTACGCGCTTTTCGGCACACTCGGTGCATACTCGCGCGTATTCCCCCGTACGTGTACACACGTACACGTGCGCGCGGCCAGGGTACGTGGGTGTGCGCGTACACACGGGCGGCCCGGCTGCGCTTACGCGACGCCACTTTGCGCATTTATCAATATTACTTTTTGCAATTGATATATTACGCCGCCCTGCGTCCGGCCCGGCCCGGCCCGCCGCGCCACGCCGTGCAACGAATTAAATCGCGCGCGCGCTCACGTACTCGGTGCTCCGAAAATGCGCGCGGTCGTTGAACCCCGCGAATCGCTCTCCCGATGCGAACGTCCGCGCGGGATCGAACGTTCAAAATCACCTTGACGATTATATATTACGATCTATAAAATCTTCTACGAGGACTTTTCTCTGTTCCTTGTATTTTTTTATTCGTACAATGTGTTATATCGTGAAAGAGAGAGAAAGAAAATTCGAAGATTATGTTCTCGCGATGAATCATTTAATATAAATACAAACGCGTGTTACCTTTTTTCTTTCAATTAATTTATTTTGATTATAATTAAAGCTTGATGAAATAACGCAGATGAATATATATTTAACGGATTATTGTAAATTCATACATAGCAACTTAAATAGAACAGAGCTATGAAATAGTGGAACGGAGTCAATCGATAAGATACCGAAATTCATTAGTACCAAAAATAGTTCGTCACGCGATGTACGAGGTTGCACCATCTATATCGTGCATGAAATTAAAGCGCGATAAAAAAAACGATGATTGTCCATTTTACGATACGTCGTGATTTCATCGAATCGAGTAGGCGTAAGATTTTCCAATCGCACTTTATACGCACATGCATAATAAATCTCGTCGTAAACCATACGCTTTCGAAAATTTAAATTACGCATGTAAGTCGCGCGGTATCGCTGATGCCAACCGTGTATACGTACAGTCCCGAGACTCCCAAATAGTGTAAACATGGCCTCGCGGTATAATCACGGTGTTCAGCGAGTTTTGGCGAAATTAGAAGCGTCGATAAACTCGGAAAATTATTATGAGGCTCATCAGATGTACAGAACTTTGTATTTCAGGTGAGCCAGCTGATCCGATCGCCTGGCGCCGTCAAAGCGCACTCCCGCTCGCGTAAAACTTTGCCCGTTTAACCTCCTACGCTTACAGATACCTCAGCCAGAGAAAATACTCGGAACTTTTGGAATTGCTATACAATGGGTCGATGCTTTTGTTACAGCACGAACAGGTATGTGAATGTTGTTCGAGAAATCTTTGGATTTTTATAGCCTTTAAAAGTAAAGAAAATTTTATAGACATTTGTATATCGTGTCGCAATCGTATATATTTATTGCAGCATGCAAGTGGAGCCGACTTAGGAATCTTATTTATCAATGTTTTAACGCAATCCGGAACGAAACCCACACAAAGCTTCTTCGAGAAGATCACGAGTTTGTTTAGTTTAATGAGCCCTGCATCGCCAGAAAGGGAAGCATTTGTGCAATTGGCGCTTAAATGGAGCGTAAAGAGTGCAGTTTCTAATAAAACTGGTCATCCTGATTTGCATCAGAAAATAGCTCAAGTCTTTTGGAGAGGTATATCTGTCGAAAGAATGACGTTAATTTGTCGTTAATCACTTTACATGCTATACATAAGTAACTTATTTTTTAACCAGAAAAGAATTACATAATGGCAAGGCAACACTTTATACATAGTAGAGATGGCTCTGGATGTGCAGCAATGTTAGTCGAACTTCACGAGCAACGTGGATACACGAATGAAATAGACCTCTTTATAGCTCAAGCAGTCTTACAGTAAGCATGTTTATTGTTATGATATTTTTAATATTACAAATTTCAACATTGCAATATAATATAGAAAAAAGAAGAGGAATATAAAATAATATTAAAAGATAATTAATAGGAGAAATACTATTTAATTTAAAATGATATTTATTTGTAATTGTAGTAAAATAGTGAATTTATCTTAGATATCTTTGTCTACAAAACAAAGCAACGGCACAAGAGGCCTTTAATTCTTATACTTTGAGGCATCCAAAAATAAATAGCGGCCCTCCGTATCTTCTTCCTTTATTAAATTTTTTATTTTTTCTACTGAAAACTATTGACAGGTATGTTACATTTTATAATATTCAATGGACGTGCATATTTTTACTGTGATAAGTTTATCCTCTTCTTTCTCTTTAATCTGATATTTTCCAGTGGTAAACTAGCAGTGTTTACAATTCTTTGTGAACAGTACCAGATATCTTTAAATAGAGATCCGTATTACCGACAGTACTTAGATAAAATAGGCCAACTTTTTTTCAATATTCCACCTCCGCGTCCACGTAATCAAGGATTATTTGGTTCGATATTACAATCTTTCTTCAATGGCCTGGAGGATGACGAATCAGATGAAGAACAACGAAATACAGCTTCAACTTCACATGCTGCGCAAGAACTTGATTGATTAAAGGTGAGACACTGTGTAGTGTGATGCTAAATATGGAACTTTTATATATTATTTCTCAATCCAAATACTTTCACTGATTGCTCCCGCGTCATCAAATAATAAAGTTTTAAATTGTAATATTATGTTTGTAATTGAAAACAATAGTAATTCTAATTTGTGTGTATGTGCGTGCGTGCGTGCATGCGTGCGTGTGTCCTGATCACTGAGAGATGAAAGTTTTTGGGATGATTTTTCTTGTCAAAGGAAATTTGTCAAAGTTGTAAGTTATGTATACTGAATTCAAAATAGTAATATTCGTACACTAAAAATTGATATTCTAATTATTTTATACATATCTAATAGATATCTTATTTTATATTATTGTCTTTTTTATCAAACAAGACAAATGTGCAATAATGAAATGCATATTTTTTCATAATAAAAACTTAATCTAAAAAAAATAAATGAATAATATTCAAAACATGTAATGATATATAAAGTTTGATAAAAAACTCTAATTTTATTTAATATCATATCATTTTATAAGATAAGAAAATAAAATTAACTTTCTGGAAAAAGTTAATTTTATCTGTGTATATCATTTTTCATACATGCTGTTATGAATTCAGCAAATATATATACTTGGACTTTGAATAAAATCCTCGCCATTAGCTAAAACCTGTATATCATATATATATATATATATATATATATATATATAATCACATCAGTGTATATCTGCGTGTAATTGCTGGAAGATCAAAGATTTATTTTATATAAACTAAAACACATATGACAAATAAATGTGACATAATTATAGCTTCCATAACAAGAATATTAGACAAAATTGCTTGTTGCTTATGTTGAAAAACACCGAGGGAATAAATTATACTCGAAGTAACAAGCAATGTCTATTTATTGGATTCTATATGAATAAAGTTTAGAAATCCAACAAAAAACAGATGCATATATTTAGTTAAAGAAATAAAACGACCATCACTCTGTAATAAAATTCTTCACAGCATTAATTTTAATAAGAGTAATATAACATTGCTATGTACTAAAAAAAGAAATGGAAGCATAAACAACTAATTCAGCTAATAATTTTAACTTTGTAATAATTATACCTTTCTGCACACATGTACATTGGAAAACTTTGATTTTGTATTATGTCATTTTATTATAATTATTTAAGATGCAAAGTTATATATTGTTATATCAATGTGTGATAATTAAATCATTATTATTCATATTTGTTATACAATTCAAAAATTTATATACAAATAATTTTTTATGCAGAAATTAAACAATATATATTAATTTAATATAAAGTAATATTATATACATAATATTATTTCTTTAGATTATTTTGTTGTTTTAAAATGAATAATCTTTTGATAAATACCACATTACAGTCAGATCATGCATACGAATGCAAGATTAGTACTTCGAAAAATTAATTTAGGTATTATATTTGTATAAATCACTTGAAGAAAATATAATAATAAATAACACAACACACATATATACACAGTTACCCAATATATTATTCTACTTAAATAGCAGTTTTTCTTTCTATTCATCTAATAGAAACACTTAATTTAACAATTGTATATACATTGAGTGAAATGTACTAATATGCCTGTGTCATCATGTTCCTAATTAAAGATATTTACTGTCTTATAATACAACGGATCATTGATACTCGCGTAACTTCTTTTAAACTATCGCCCATATAACCATAATTTTGACAAAAAATTTTATTTTATTATATTTATGTTATTATTATATTTGCAAGTTGATATTTATTTATTAAATAAATAATTGGAGAGAGCAAATGCATTAAGTTTTTCACAGATGTAATTAATGTGAAAACAATATATTAAAAAAAAAATAAAATCGATGATTATAAATTATAATTAAAAATGACACATGTAAGATATAAAATATTAAAAAGAAGTATTAATGTGAAAACATTTTGATAATCATATTATATATTGATAAATTATAAACAAAATTAAGATTTGTTTATTTTACTTAATATTATGTACATTGTATATTTAAAGCACAATCCTATATACTTAAAAATAAGGTTGGATATATGAATATAATTATGATGAGATGCTTATTTAAATTTTTATATTTTATCATAAAATACGTGCAGTTTTTTTTACAAAGTTTCTCAAATAACTCAAATGAAAAAGATATTTGCAGCAAATAAATTCAATCACAAGATATAAAAGAATATCTTATATTCCATAATGTAAAACTCGGTGCATTTGTACAAATTCTATTTTGTGTTATCCAAATTATAATACAAATCTGTGTACAAAAATACAATATAAAAATGTTATCAAACATAATTAATGGCACATAAAATAAAAAGTATTATGAAATATTTTTGAAAAAAATTTACATTGAACAAATTTACTTACGAAGTGCTATTGCAGTATTAATATATCTCGTTACCAGGCATTGAAAATTGCCTCGAAAATGTTTCCACTTGCTCCTTCAGGGCTGCAACTTTTGCTTTAATATTTTCATCGGTACTTAATACTCTTTTGAAGTCGAGCAACTTCGGTCCCGAAATAGCACTCACTTCTTTAGAAAGCTGCAATCCTACAAGATATAAAATTTATTACAATTGCATTTAAATCACAATGTTTGATTCATTAATGCTCAGAAATTATCCCTCGAAAAAAATACCGCAAATAACAAATACAAATATAATTATATATATATATATATATATATATATATATATATATATATATATATATATATAGTATATATTCTTAATTTTTAACAATTAAATTACCGAGATCTAACACATTTTCGTAACGTTTAGAATTACCTCTATGTATGAATTCTGCAACTTTGTCAATATCTTCCTCGACTAAGCCGCGAGTAGTAAGTGCGGGTGTTCCCAATCTAATTCCGCTAGGATTTAATGCACTTTTATCACCGGGAACAGTATTCTTATTGCAAGCGATAGAAACATCTTCTAAAATCTTTTCTGCTTTCGCACCGGTGATGCCCGTTGATCGTAGATCTACTAATAACTGGTGGACGTCTGTGCCATGGGTACTGATATTATAACCGTGCTCTTGCAAACCAGCACACAATCTCTTCGCATTAATCGCTACTTGTTTTTGATAAGCAATAAATTCTGGTGTTTTAACTTGTTTCATAGTGGTGGCTATAGCAGCGATAGCGTGATTATGAGGCCCGCCTTGAAGACCTGGAAAGACTGCCTGATTAATTTTACTTTCTAAGTCATACATAATCTGCTTGCCATCCTTCGTGACACTTCGAACACCCTTTCGGTAGAAAATAACACCAGCGCGCGGACCTCTGCACAAAGAAGATATGTCTCGCTATTTTAATCTCTATAATGAAAATATATACTCTGTAAAAATTATTTAAAAATATAGTGCCTTACCGTAAAGTTTTATGCGTAGTTGTCGAAACAACATCACTAAATTCGAAAGGACTGGGTATTATTCCGGCGGCAACCAATCCAGAGATGTGAGCCATGTCGCTGAAGAGATAAGCATTATTTTCGTCGGCGATTTCGCGGAAACGTTTATAATTCAGGCATCTACTATAGCAGGAAATTCCAGCGATGATGACTTTCGGCTTGAATAATCTTGCTTGTTTCGCGAGCCCATCGTAATCGATGTAACCACTCGTAGGATCAACTTTGTACGGCATCGATTCGAAGAAAATAGACGTAGCAGAAATCTTCTTATTCACCGTGAAGAAACCTATAACGTACGAATAAAATTTTTACAATGATTTCGGACAGATACATCAGTTTATTATTCCGTTTATTCGAATTCTTACCATGAGTAAGATGACCACCATCGGGTAAATCTAAGCCCATTATACGTCCGTGAGGTTCCATTAAGCCTGTGTACACCGCGAAATTTGCTGGACTACCTGAATATGGTTGTACATTACAGCCCCATTGTTCAGGATCTAAATTGAAGGCTTCTAAGGAGCGTTTTTGTGCCAGTAATTCAATTTCATCGATATATTCATTTCCACCGTAATACCTGCAAATATATGAAACAGTCAAGCTTATTATACAAATGATTCAGTATTTATAAGAGAAATAGTATGAAAGCGGTACAAAAACTTACCTCTGGCCAGGATATCCTTCGCTATATTTGTTGTGCAGGCACGAACCTAAACATTGTAAAACACTAAGAGATGTAAAGTTTTCACTGGCAATCAATTCTAGCCCGCTTTCCTGTCGTTTTTTTTCGTTCTTCATCAAATCGAAAAGCTCAGGATCGGTTTCCCAAAGATTATTACTAAGTATATTTGCCATTTTCTGTCAACAATCGTAAAAAAATTTCTATATCAATTCCAATTTTTTAATCATTCTATATTTTAATGTAGATAATATTACATTAATATTCATATTTTAATATAATATATTATAATATATTAATATAATATAATATATTACTTTAATATTTATTAATATATTTATTAATATATTTTTTTTATATACATCTCATAAAAAATAAAAATCTTATAAAAATTATCTCACAAAAATTCACAAAAATTATAAAATTATGATTATTATCGAAATAATAATAATAATTCATTAAATTTTTCAATATAACTTTACCTTGTGAATCAATTTATAGAAATAAATCAAATTGTGTATAAGTTTTTGTTAATCTACACTTTAAATCACTTCAAAAAGCGAATGTGCTACTTCGAGTGAAACTCAATATAACATACCGCATGTATATATTGGCTCATATACTTTAAAGTTCAAAGTTTTACCGATAACCCCATAATGTAATGATAAACGATAAACAAGTTTATCTACATCAACATATTTTAGAAATCATCAATATTATTCATTCTCGATATTCTACAGATATTAGATAAATAAATTTTTCTGATATTAGATAAATAAATTTTTCCGAATATTATGCGATAAAAATATATTATCAATGTAACATGGAGAAAATAAATAAAATAATTCATAATAAACTAAAAATATTCTAAATAATCTTATGAAAATTAAATAAAAAGAGTATTACATAACTTTCATAATTTTTACATGCTGATATTAATCGTAACATTTATATAAATCTTTCGCACTTGATCTAGATAAATTTTTTTGTACACAATCGCATACATATCAGATAATAAATAGATAAAACTTTATTTATAGAAAAAGAGCTGTATCATTAAATAGGAAATAGAGCAAGTAGGAGAAAAATTGAGAAAATTATGAAAATTAGGAAAATTACAAGAGTTCGATATAAAAAATATTTTATATATGTAATCGAATATATATGTATCGAATAAATATTAATTACAATGACGAAGAGAAAATTTATCCAAATTATTTTTTTACATAATATTAAAAAAAAAATTGTTCAAATTTATTTTTTTGGACATAATGATATTTATAAAACTTTAAAAAATGATTCTTTTTATCAAACTATAACTTTGTACCAAAGAATTCGAAAATATATATCTGATTAAACAGTATATATAAGACATCACTTTTTTTCGATTTCATGATTCCCGCCATTTCACGTCTGTTCAGTCATAACACTAGTGTTAATAAAGACACTTAAGAGAACTCACATGGAAAAATTTTGTAACGACAAGATCATCGTACGCAGTCGTGCGATTCAACAAGTTATCAAAAATGCCATATACAGAATCCGCTGATTCAAAACTAGCAATCATTTGAATATATTTCAATATGAACGCAATTTTATTAATTTAGCGCAATAAAACATGTATTTCCTTGGAGATCATGTTCGATATATACAATAAAAACGATCGATTTTTCTTTCAAAAATCAATTTGATCCGATAAAAACAATATAATTATCAACAACATGGACAATTGGTGGGCCACCATCGCTTTTTGCTGCGACGCGCCAAAATTTTAACGAAATTACTTTTACTTACTCGCTCTGGTAGATGACACGTAGATGATAGATGGATATCTCTGTGACGTGAAGGAACGCAGACGTTTGGAATGCATCCTTGATTGGCGAAATACTTTATACGGTAGCTTCGGGCCCAAAGCAGGTTCTCGACCAATTGAAAACCCCGGCGATTCAAATTCAACCAATTCCCGGCCATCATCGCGCATGTACTGACGGCGATCAGCTGAGGTCGAAAGCGTGCGTACGTTTTCTGCACGTGATGTAACTGCTTTACACGTGATGTAACAGCGTTTTGCACGTGATTTCTTCAATAGATTCTTGCCTCGTAAATCAGACGACTCGTGCGATTCCTATTTACTAGTTAAACTCAAAGCGTGCTACGCGCGGTACTATGTCCAATGTAGACGGAAATCCAAAAAGAATAAGAACCAAAGCATAACACTCGGTTTCTTTCTTTTCTTTTCTTCTTGTTGAATTACCGTCTTCCTGGACGCAGTACCACGCGTCTTATACGTAATTTTATAGCATTCGATTTATTGACTTCGACCACGTGTTTCAGGAGAAACATTAAATCACACGTATTGCGATACTAGAGGAAGCGTGAGAAGAGCGCAAAATGTGCTTTGCGCATGTCTCTGACGTCACGAGTGCCGGCTATTTTGAACAATTATGATATTTAAAATATTTTTTTTTTTTTTTTGATATGTTTCAAAACTTTTTAAATATATAAGGATTAGAAAAATATTTTTCGAAGGATCTATGTTTAATAAATATTATTTTATATTATATTTTTCTGATCTTTTTTTATATATTTTATTTTCGTAGTTATATTTTAATTTTTTTTTCATTTCTCTCTCTCTTTGTTAAAAATGAAGTAAATGTTTTATATATTTTATTACATATAACTCTCTCTCATCTATATCATTATTTATATATTTATTTTACGAAACAATTTTACGAATTTTATTAATTTTTTTTATTGTTTTATTACATAAATCCATTTTTTTATTCCTAAAACACACGATTAAAATATCATATATTCTAAATTAGATTATTATATTACATACCGATAAGACTTTGTAACACACGATAAAACACTTTCAACTTCCAATTAACGTGCCTATGATGTATATTCGCAGATACAGCGACAAAATGTATTAAAATTCTCTATTAAAATTCACGGTTAAATACTTACACACTTTCACGAAAACTGTTTTTTCATTTTAAGTTAAAAAAGAAAACAAAAATGTTCACATATGTAATGTGGAATTCGCGCGAATAATAATTTGAAGTGAGTTATAATCGCAAAACGACCGTTTCGATAGCAGACAAGTTGCAAACTAGCAAAGGCGAATCATGAAATTCGAAAGTGAGTGAACGACTGATGACTTTTTTTCATTCTACTTGGATCGCTGTACGCCAGTCAATCTAGTCGATGTTTTTATCAACTTAAAAAGACATCCGAATACTTTTCCTTATTACAGCCTATACAAGCTTGACTTTTCGCGATATGATATTACTCACCTTTATCGTTTTAATTTTAATTTGTTTATGGATTAATACCTTTTTTTTTCATTTACTGAAGATATATATTATTTAATCAAATATTTGCGATGAAAATTTAATCATAAATAATTTTTTAAAAGAGAGAAGACTACAATGTATATTTTACATTGTAAAATGAAACAAACAATTAAATAAAAGCGTGGTATCGCCTATACGATTATCATTAATTTCCTTCTTTTTAATGTTTATTACATAAACAGTGTCAATATCCACATGTCTATTTATAATTTCGCATTCGAAGTAGTATCGGGATTTGAAAATGTGCAACAAATATATGACGATAATGACAATAGAGAAAGAATTAAAATACAATTAATAATAGGAGGAAAATAATAGAAACGATATTCCCCTTACAAAGTACAAAATCTGAAGTAATTAGGAAATTACATTACAGGAACGAGGCAACCCTTGAGAATGATCTTTCAATGATGAATAAGATAATGAAAGGTAGAAAAAGATAATAGGAAGAAAGAATGAGCCAGTATTCCCAAATAAATAAATTATAAAAAGAGAAAGCTATGAGAGAAAGCTATGAGATACTATGTGAGATAAACCAAGAAATCATAGAAAGAAGAAATACCGATAATACTGTTATATCTCAGCACAAAATAGATAAGATGGAAATAGGAGGAAAAATATAGTAAGAGAGATACATTATAATATTTGAAAATATAACACATTGAAAAAAAAATACACTGTTTATCAAAAGAGAAATAAAATGAATTATGTTGCACGTGATAACTTATCGCTTTGATAACACGTTTCCGGTCTTTCACCTCGATTTTGTAAAATAAGCATTTTACTTGTGACGCAATATGTATCGATGTAACGATGTAATCGAATGCGAAGAAAACAGAATGACGAGCACGTCGAGATCGACTGAAGAAACTCCCAAGTAAAATATGCAAAAACTGATTATAAGTCAGAAACTGATTATAAAACACTGTGGTCAGTTTTTACTATTTTCAATTTACTGAACAGTAATTGCTCAACGACCAAGTAAAAAATTATTTTTAGATAAAATCCTATTTAAATGGCTAGCTACTAATCAGTGCATAGATAATTTTAATAATTTTTTATCATTAATTAACTGATATGAACTGTTAAAAAAACATTCTTTAAGCAAAAATAGCCAGAAAACTAATCAAGTTAAACAGATCAGTAAATGATAACTGATTTATGTCTAGCAAGAACTCAGAACATACTAGTATTATAAAGTTATATAAGATTAATCAGTAAATGACAACCAAAACTGATCAATATCCTCGCTATTTTCTAGAAAATATTGAGATTACAGTGTAGATTTCCTTCCTTCGGAAATAATACGTGTATAAAATCTTAGAGTGCTGTAAATCTAACATTAAGAATTAAAAATGTATATGAAAGAAACTCATCATTGATACATCTGCATGATGACGCATTTAATTTCTTAATGTGCCCTTTTTATTATGAATTATAGAATGACAACGCGATATTCAAGCGAAAACAACCGTGCGATCATGGGAGAATTCCCAATCTAATGTTAGAGAAAATCGAATTAATGATACGCTTGCTTATGCAATAGTGCTCTTTGCAGTTGCAAAAGTTTCAAAACATATTTTTTCGCCAACTTATTAACATAAAAGTTAGATATATTCGAATTTATTTAGCACACAAACTAGGACCATATAGTCGAATTCTTCTATTCATAATCAATGTCTCTGTTCTTAATCAACCGTTACCCTGTAAACTCAACTTCGTTGTTCTTTCACTATTTCACATTATCATACGTTGAATTATTCTTATATATTAGTCCGACATTATACGTATTATCTCATAGATACAAACAGAGGAAGAAATATCTTCGTAATACACGTAACAAATGTAATATTGAAAATAATGACGCGTTCATTTGTATTGCTTTTATTATCGTTCTTTTTTTTACGCATATCTGTATCTCGCATTTATCTCGCTTACTTAGAGAAATGAACTATCAAATGTTCAAATTTATACAATCGCAGTTGTGTGAGCAATTTCTTTTATAAAGTCAGCTCTACAAAAACGCAAAAGTATCTGGTATATAATCTATTATAAGCGATCATATGCCACATGTCTCAACTTATTTTCTTCCTCGGCGTATCGTTCATTACAATCGCGCGCCACGGATGATGTCAATAGTACAATTAATAACTTAAACGCGATCTCATCAAACAGACTATATGATCTCTGCTCTTCCTTACAAAAAGTACAGGTTTTTTTATTATTAATTGCTGTCTCTTGTACCATGTATAATTTCAAGAGAAAGATTGCCATTAGTATTACTTAGTAACGAAATTTATACATATGTATACATAATAAAATGTGATTCTTTTCATGATTTCCTATTACATTATGTTATATAATTGGAATCTTTAGGAGAAAATATGTTTCGTCCCCTTTTTTCTCTTTTTGCAGATTATATAAAATATCATTATCGCCTGTATTCGGCAGAGATCTTCTGTAAAATAATCAGTTTTGCTGCTCATCTAGAAGGAACTGCGCTATAAAGAAAAAATGCATTCATGAACATATGCAATCATGATGTTACGATATCGCAAACACCAATCTTTAGGCGTACAAAAGATACTCGATTTGCTTGAATGAAATATCTTTTTGGCAATCAGATTTGTAATGATGCTTTTATGTTTCTTTAAACAATTCGATTTAAATTTTTATTGTAAATGCCGCACTCTCTCTTTCTTTCTTTTGCTTTCTTTATCTCTCTTGTATTCGGCTTGACAAGAATTTAATAAGCATGCTATTTAATTATTACAAACGAATTTAAATAAAAACAGAAATACAGAAAGCAAAACACACTTGATGTGTCTTTAGAGTGTAATTTGAAATTGTTTTTTTTTAGATGCATTATATTAAAAGTACGATTCTTTTCATATATGCCATCAAACAATACGGTCTGTACAATCACATTTAATTTCTTTTTTCTTTTTTACAAAATATCATGTTGTGATTTAACTCATGCATTCAATCTTCATTAAAAACTATTACGCGTCACACAGATTTCTCTTTCAATATTATTATTAATTAATCAAGTAAAAAACACACACACACGCAAAATATTCTGAATTGACGTGTAAATATATTGAAACATTTTAGCAATTCATATACATACGTGTGTATGTTGGCATATCATTTTGTCACTTCACAAAACGCAAATTTTGCTTTGCACTTTGGACACATTAAGATTTTATTACGACTTTCAAGTGAGATCTGCAATTCTTCAAAAATTTAAACATTCAAAATAATATAGCTTAAACCTATATTTCTAAAACTTATAGATCTCTTAAAAACTTATAAGTAATAAACAGCTTCTTAACATAAAAAGAAATTTATTAAATAATGCACACGTAAAAAGCTCAGTATTCCCCCTTTCTTTGACATTTACAATTATGCTATTTCAAATATTCGAGAGGCGGCGGTGTAGTGTTTAAATACATGTTGGCTAAATTGAATTGATCACAGTAAGGTGTAGAAAATGATAAATAAGAATATTTGCAATAGCAGAACTCTTGCGCAACACGTGAGTTACTTTTAAAAGTAACTCTGCGCGAAATATCTACTTTTATCGTATTTTATAAATTAAATATGAAATGAAAAATAAAAACTACTAATTTATAATCAAATTAAGAGAATATGACGATTTCTTGATGATTAAGTCGTTATTTTCTACACATTGTTTCTCAAAAACGGAGCGATTATTCTGTTCATACTGTAAATAAAGAAAAGAAAAAAATTTCGAATACATTATTATATGCTTAAACTAGCGTTTGCACCTCGCCAAGAATCTTTTCATCTAGATTAAGCATTAATCGTTTCGTCGATTTCTTGCTTTATCTGTATATCCTTTTATATTTGCATTTTACGTATCATTACACAATTTGTAAAAAAAATATACAAGATAAAACACACAAAAAATACGCTCGAACGGAAAAAAACATATTCTAGGAAAGACAACTTAGAAATTTTGCTTACGCACTTTCTATCTTCTTCTATTCTTGTTATAAGGCGACATGAAATAAAAATTCTTTATTCGAAAATATGAAAAAGATACAAGAGAAAAAGTTTGAATTTTTTAATATTTCGAATCAATGAAATAGATTCGCCTTAAAATGTTAGAATTTTTATGAGTCTACTTTGCGTCACGAATTTAATTTACTAATAAAACTAAATGTGACATTGTCCTTTTTTTAGCGCAATATTAATGGCAAGTCCCACATTTCGAATATCCTGAATACAGATACAAGGCATAAAAGAGGAGTGTGTAGGCAATCTTTCTTGATGCCAATAATATGTTACGAGTGTTAGATGTTACATCATGCAGAACATAATATGGTACCCCTTTTGGGATATAACAATTATATACAAATTTTACGTGATAGGATAAAAGCCGGAATATTTCTCACACAAAAGTCACGTTTTCCTAATAAAATTAAAAAAAAAGAAGGAAATTGTTTATTAGAGAGAATGATTAGAGACACAATAATATTAGGTACAATGTATGTGCACTTTATAATCAAATATTCTCGAAGTCTAGGCGAAAATTCATACTGAGTGACGTCAAAGCAAGTATCGGATCAATAATACTTTTACAAATTCGAATCGAGGAACTATTTTATCGTTCTTCCATGATGCATAAAATAGCACTGCACATTTCACGATAGTCTCTTATAATCCATCGTATACAAAGCTTGAATTTACCTTCCGATCATTCTCGTAGTATTAAAATTGCATAGTTTTAATCTGGCTGAGGAAATGAATACATAAACGCATTTTCCAACCTTTAGTATATCAGACGTCGCTCTCTTACTATACAGAGTCGTATATAAATTATTATGAGTGGCTGCCTAATTTAATTTCTTCTTCGTGTGGTGGAAATTTAATTGTAAATCTTAATGGCCTTTTCGAGGTAGTTGATACGAGAGCGCTTTGGCGCTTTGTTGACATGTTCCAGGCCAAGCCAAGGCCTGTGTGGCGATGTGCCTGCGTTTAAAAGTGGATAAACTACAAAATTTATTCTTCATCAGCATCATATTGCAATATATTATATACTAAATATAGTGAGCGATTATTCAGTGCTCACTTTATTGGCATGCGTTACAAAATGGAGAAATAGAAATACGTTTTATACTCACTCTGACCGGAAAATCTAGGAAGGAAATCGTCGATTTTGATACAATAGTCCGGCGAGTCGATAATGAACTGTGGCTTGCCCATGGACACCACCGCGAACTTAAACTTCAAAGTTTTTTTATGAATTCTCATAAGAGATCAAAAAAGATTAGCTAAGGATGCCTACCTTTTCGAATTCTTTTTCTTGAACTCCTAATTTCTTTAGCAATCTATCCTTCATTTTTGGAAAGGGTTCACCCTATAAAATAACAACGTAACGATCATTAAAATACGCATCGGATGTGTTATATGTATACAATATACGTGAAGAGATTTAAATAAGAGAATTAAATTTAAATTCAAAAGATCACTCACATTCTTGATTTTGAAGAAAAAGGGTATACCGAACGTTGAGAAAACGTCTTTGTGAAAATGCGCAACAGGAACCAGTAGTTCGCCCTCTGCTAGATGCAATTCGTCATTCGGAATTTCTTCTATCCTATATAGCTTGGTGCCTGATGAGTTTAAGTTATCTAAAGGTACATCGTCTCCGGGGCCAGGTAATAGCTTGTTGCAATTTATTTCTAATATCCTTAGTTTTCCCGATCCGTTTTCTGATAATTCTACTTGCTTTTTAGCCTCCTCGAGCAGAGTGGCAACAGTACCGTTTTTATTCGGGTAAAGTATAATCTCCTTCTCTTCCTTAAGTGATGGGCCGACCCATATGCACTTAAATTGTTTTTTGTTTTCTAGCTCGTTCACTCTAATACTGAGCTGTTGATAAAATAATTTCTTTATTTTTGACTTGCAATACGAAACCAATTCTTTGAGCGTGCCTTCAAATGTACATTTTAAAGGATGGCCAGGAGAATCTTTATAACTGAAAAAAATTTAAGAATAAGATTTTTTCTTTCATCCAAAGAATCTTAAAATAATCGAAAACCTTTATCATGTATGTGTTGATATTAAGATGCATATAAATTCTTACTTTTGACATTTAAAGAATTGTAAAAGATATGGATCTGTGCCAACTCGTTGTGCTACAGCCTTCGCCATTTGATCGTACGTCATTCTTAGCGAAAGTTCCATCGTAAAACCTGGATCGTTGGGAATCGTTTTATCACAAAATGTTACTTCTACCCTATAGAATAGATCTCTGAAAATACAAACCGTTAGATTAACAATCGTAAAAATAGATTTCTGAAAATACAAACCGTTAGATTAACAATCGTAAGAAATTCGAAAATACAATTCCCATACAAAAGTTATATAAAATATGAATATATTAAAATGTATTATTATTTACTTAAAATATGGGTTTAGTTAGGTGATGTGGCGAGAATAAAATCGGACAAAAGATTGATGGATAAGGATAAGGATGATTGAGGATAAATAGGCTTGAAGAGTCACTTAAATAGGTGAAGTGTATATAAAGAAGAATAAAAATAAGATAATAAATAAAGAAGAATAAAGTAAACCCTCTTTACAGACAGATAAGATAATTTAGATAGAGAAGTAGAGAGAGAAAGAGGATGGAGAAAGATAGGAGGGGAACATACATATCAAAGTTTATTAGCAAGGAAACAATAGATTAGAGGATGAAGAAACAAAGAGAGATCGGTAAAGAAAGAAGATGTGATAACGAGGAGGAGAAATTATTAGATAAAAAGGAAAGAAAAGAGGTAAATAAAGGAGAGAAGAAAAGAATCGGGCACAGAGAAGATTTAATGGAAAGTAGAGATAAGAAAGATAGCATAGATGAGGGATAATTTTTAGAGAAAAGAAGCTAACGTGATTTGAAAAAAAGAAGTAGAATAGAATAGAACATGTTATTATAATTTGAGTTTTAGGAGATAGAAAAAAATGAAAAGAGAATCAGAAAGAGCAGAATAGTAAGATAAATTTGTGTCGCACTTTCTACGCGATTTAGTCATCTCCTCATCAGGAGATATTTATAGTAAGTTGAACTAAAAGTAAGAGAATTAGTTTTTATATTGTAGGATCCATACGATGTAGGAGAATAGAATAATGTTAGATTGTGATTTAAAGAGAAGAGAAAGAAACTAGAGATAAGGTGAGAGGAAATGTTAGGAAGATGAGCGGAAAGATAACATTAGATCTTGAATCTAGAGAGAATAACAAAATAAAAAGAAAAAAAGATAGAAGATAGATTAGAGAAAACAGGAATACAGAACAAGTCAATTGGAGAATGGGAAAAAGAAATAGTGAAAGGAGAAAAGATCAGGAAACAACCAGAGCAGAAGAGAAGGAAGAGAAAAAGAATAGGAATCAACTGGAGAGGTTTGAAGAGAAAAGAAGGAAAAAAAAAATGTAAATGAAAGAAGAGGAGAAAGAAGAAAATTACGAGGAATTGTAAGTAGAGAGGATAAAAAATCGGGAGTAGAATGGAGAGGTCAGAATAAAGATCAGGATGTAACTGATGTAGAAGCGAAAGAAGAAACAACGAAGTGTAAATAAAAAAAGAAAGAAAATAAGAGGTAGAGAAATAATAAAAGATGGAGAGGCGGAGTATAGGACCAAGAAGCAACCGGAGTAGAAGAGAAAGAGAAACATATAGAGGAAAAACGGAGAAAAAGATCGAAGAACGGAATGAAGAGAGAAGAAAGAAAACGAAATCATGAAACAAAGAAAATGAAAAGAGAGAAAAGATAATAGGAGACAAAGAGAAAGGAGAGAGAAAGAGAGAATGGAGTATGGAGGAAAAGAAAAGTCGAGGAGACAACAGGAACAAGAGAAAAAAAGAGGAAAAATGAAAAACAAAAAGAGGAAACAAGAAATGGAATAGAATAGGGTAATTTAGAATAATTTTGGAGTCTAGTGAATGTGGTTAAGATCTCTGTGAACCAAGTCTCCATTCAAAGTCGAAAGACACGGCTTATAAAATAAATAAAAAATAATAAAAACTTACTTAAAATATTCTCGACATGTTGGAAGTTCATACATCTCATTATCTCCTTCCTTCTGAAATACAATTATGTCACCGTCCATTAATTCCTCCAATACTTTTTCCAAGGGTTCTGTTAGATTGTCTATTTTCTCAACTAGATTTGGTTTAATTTCCTCATATAAAGCAAGTTCTGTGTCTGGTGGAAATCCCGCGCGTTCGTTTAAAATTGGTATGAGCTCCTCTGCAAAATTTATTATCAAAAGTATATGAAGATATTCTATAAAATTATATAAAAGTACGCGTGCATATATATGCACGTGGCTAGAAGCACGCAGCGACAGCGAGAAGGGAGAAGCGAGCAAGTGAAAATAAATGGGAAGAGAACGGTGGACTCTCCGAAATATGATAGCGATGCGCGCTTCTAGCCACGTGCATTGGCCAATCTTTTTAAATTAATATCTCGAAATTTTACGTGGCTTTTGTAAAATACTAAAAAACTTTTTAGTTCAGTTTAACGAGATCTACTTATGACTTTACTTTGTTCCGAGGAACATCCTGTGTGTGTGTGTGTGTGTATATACACAGGGTGTTCCTGGTATCTCGAACAAAATAAAGCCATAAGTAGATCTCGTTAAACTGAACCTAAAAAGTCTTTTATTATTTTGCAAAAACCACGTAAAATTTCGAGATATTAATATATATGGAAAAAAGAATATTTACGATATTTTTTCTCTAGTAGATATTATAGAAATATCTTCAACTTACGGACTTTGGCTACAACAGGCATATAATGGTGACCACAATAATGGATTTTCTTATTTTTGGGATCATAAAGTTTAAAAAAGAGTAAAACATCGGTGTCCTTGTCGAAAGGCGGTAATGCTGTCATGTCAGAATCCGGAGGGACAAGTTCAACGAATACATTCCATGGATTGTGATTTTCCGCGCAATCAATGATAGGTTTTTGAAGATCAGCATCCGGCTCAATTAATGTAGGTCTGCAGGTTTGATTCGAACGCTGACTGAACGGCCAAATACGAATCTGTTCTATCGGATATTTCTGCAGAATAAATTTAATAATATTAAATATTTGCTTTATTTCTCTCTGTATCACTTTTTCGATTTTCTAAACTGAAAATTGAAAATAAAAACTGTTTTTCAAGAATCAATAATTTTATTATTTTAACATATATGTATAGGTTTTATATTTAAAAATTTATTATTTTGCAAAGAAATAAAGAATATTCTTTCTATTCTTATATAAAAAAAATATTCATTGTCTTTTCGGATTTATTACCTACCGTCATGACAATATAGTTTAATAAACCACTGTATGATTCACACACAGTAGCACAGAAAATATATTAGATGTTACACCAATATTGGTTTACTTTGTAAATAAATTCTGATACACGTATAAGCACAAGATCAATTTCTAAATGATATAACAGCATATGAAGAAGCACCGAAAGCGCAAAATGTTTTTATTAAGCTTACTTACCAAACTATCACTCAGTAGTTCAAGAAACTCGTGCACAGTGGCCTGCTTACGTACGCGAAATACACGATATAAAGCGTGCTCTGGGTCGTAGAGATCATTCCCTTGGTGACCGTCAAAGCTATCCTCGAGAAGGACATTGACGGTCATGTACAAGTATGCCTCCGTTCTTTCCTTTCTTCTTATCTGTTCCAGCCTCTTCTCCTCTTGCAGCCTCTCCACCAGCTAGACCAACAAAATTAAAATTATCCACGTGTGTACTCGTTTCGTTCTCATTGGATCATTTTTTCCTCGACTGTCATTTTAATTTACATAATTTGGTCATTTTTTTTTAGAAAAAGAATGTATCATGCTTTTGAGATTCGAGAACAGATTATATTCGAAACATCAAAAGAATGACGGTACATTTTTCATTCTGTAATTTTAATTTTGTTCATCTGCCGCTATATCGACTACCACAAGTCAAACAATTACACAATAAAAATTATTTGGCGGTGAGTGATGGTTTCCAGTTATTTCTTGCCGGCTAATAAATACAATATCATACAATGAATACAGTTAGTAATTAAATATAAAAAACTGATACATCAAATGTGACATATAAAAAAAGTATGATATATGAGTCCTATAATATTATTTTAATTACATGCTGTGTTACCATCTGAATATTTAGAATATATAATATATATAATTGATCAGAAATCTTGGCAAAACAAAATACCTTAATTTAGCTATGTACATGCATAATACATACCTATCAAAACACTATAACCACCACCCATGCCAAATAATTATAACAATGTAATGTGTAACTATAGTAGTGTGGAGATGCTTTGTGTAACTTGGAATATCTCTGTTACTTGTATCGTATAAAGTAGATGAAAGAGAATAGCGGTAAAAATAAATAAAATTAACGCGATTGCTGTCTGTGAAATTTTCTAGTATCCAACAATTTATTCGTTATTCTTCTTTTTTTATTTTTATATATAAAATAGTGATGTAGCATTTAAAGGTATCTCACGATTAAAGCTATCATAAAGTATTTACTCTATCGATAATGCTTTAGCGTTCTTCTCTCTCTCTCTCTCTCTCTCTTTCTCTCTCTCTCTCTCTCCCTCTAGTCATTAATATGTATAACAACAAATAAATAGATAGCATCTGTCAATGATCGTAATCACTATTAACACGAAGAGAATTTAATGAATTAACGAGTTGTTTAAGTGATTCTTTGTTGAAACACGAAGTTCTTATTTTACTCGTTATTCTGTATGTGTGTCGACTTTAAATATTAGTTCACAAAAACCGCAAAGAGATGAGTAATATAAATCACATTACGTCTCACTCACTAAATAATTCAATTAAATAACAGATATGTTAAAGAAGACATATCAAGGAAGCTGATGTTGTCGACAAGTACTACTTATATTGGTTACTTTTCCTTTTTCCCGTATATATATTGCAAGAGCTAAAACTCATCAGCTCGAATCGATACTTATTATATTCTCACTAATAACTCTTTTTGCTTTTTTCTAATTCTCTTATACAATTACTTACACATATCCAATTTTTTCTTGCGATATGTTTGTTCATTTTTCATTCACGGTTTTAATATACTACAATACAGTGATTAAATTTGTTATTGTTATAATATTATACAATGTTTGTTACAATAAAACATTCCCAAAACAATTCTAAGGCTCATCACGATAATATGATAGTCTGACGATCAGACTTCAAGTTTATCCAATTCAGGATAAACAAGATTTTTGACAAGAGTGACAAGAATGTAACACGCACATTATTCATGAATCTTTTTCTTTAATTCCTTGCGTTACCGATATAAAATTGAATTAAGATAAAAATAAATAAAAGATCACATGTATGTGATTTTCTTATTTATATCTCCAACGCCTGCACTGAAAAAATCCTCATCCTGTCCAAAAAAAAAAGATGTCAAAGGTATTTTATATCAAACAAATCTCTATATAACATGCATTATATAATTTCATCACATTATAATGTAGAATGTACATGTGTTTACAAAATCACTGTATCAATCTTTGAATCTTTCCAAACATTATCGAATCATCATCCATGTATTCAAATTTAGTACATTAGAAATTAAGCTTAATAAAAAATACTTGATTTTTATCAAGTATTTTTCTTTATCAAGTATTAAATGTGAATACAATATTGAAAAATAGGCGATGATTTATATAATGTTAACATTTATCAGTATAGCAGTTCAAAAATGAGTAATGTAAATCTCTGTTAAGAAAATTTAAGACAAGAAATTCATAACAATTATTCAAAAAAACAGATATAAAATTCAATTTTATCAAATAAATCCTCAATTTGTATACAGAGAATCTCAAAAATTAATCTATCAACATGTAGTAGCCAAAATATATATTGCAACGAGGACAAAAAATTTCCCCGAGTCTTTCTCACATGTATATTAACTTCCAGTCTGATGTGAGTTTAACAATTCTATACTATGAGCAAGCTCTCACTGTTGTAGCTCAATACAATATTAAACTTCAGGAAGAATTTGATCGAGAAGCAACGCAAGTAATTTACAACTCCTTCCATCTATTTTCGCCTATATCGGCATTTGTCGGTTAAAAATCATGAATATAGAGATTTGGATTTCGAGGATTTTGAGTGCATGGACGAAGAGTCGTCGTTTCTGTGTGCGAGTCTTTGATCGAGTCAGTCGCGTCTTTGTCACGTTCAAGGTCGCTCAACTCCTGGGAAAGCTCTCTTTGAAGGACGTTTCTGACCTCTTGAGGTATATCCTCTTCCTTGACTTCTTGTAAAACGTTTTCCAGCTCTGAATTCCTTATGTAAACCAGCATATAAGCGTTAGTGCAATGTTTCACAGCCATAGACATATCCTCGTCTTGACCACCGTAGTTGTGTTCGATAGCTTCCTGCTTTGTACATCGCGAGACAACATCATCGTCGAATTTGCACCACTGTCATAAAACAGAGGAAGCAAAATCTTTCAGAAAAGTATATATTAATGTAATATTTAAATCATGTAATATTATTGCTCAAAGAAATGTAGAATGTAGAAGAAAGATAATATGATTATTTTGCATAGTATGCCTTTGGAAACTTTAAAAATTTTTTTTCAAACTTGATAAAAAAATAACATTTGAAATATCAAAGAGATAAAAATATATTGCTAAAGAGGTTAATTTACTGTTTTGATCAAGAAAATAAAAATCAGTAGTTGTTAAAATTTAAATTAAATGAAATTAAATTTATTAAGAGATTCAGATATATATATATATATATATATATATATATATATATATATATAATTATGGTGTGTGTGTGTGTAATATATTAAGAAAATGGAAGAAATTCATAATATGTATTTAATTTATAATAGATACCAAATCATATATTTTACTTACCTTGCCATCACCAGCAGGATTAATAAATACAACATAATGTCCACCATGATTGTCACCACTATGGACTAAAACAGCATGTAATGTGTAATCTGCACTTGTTGCTTCTTTGTTTTGCAGATATTTGCCAAGACTAATCTTTTCATAAAATTCAAACCTTAAAGATAAATTTTATAAGAGATAATTATATGAGAAATATATAAAATAAGACTTAAATTTTATTCATTATAAAAGTCTATATTTTTGTTTTAAATATAAAATATAAACTTCTATGTTATATACTGTATTATATACTATGTTATTCTATATTATATTCTATATTATATACTATAATATAGAATAATACTATTATATGATACAAATATCATATCATCATAATATTATCATATCATATTATTATGTAATTCGGATAAATTGATACAAGCTCTAACAAGTTCCAATTTCTTACCTGTCGTTAAATTTGACAGAACAATCTGTAACTGGATCATATTGAAAACGCATTAAATGTAGATGTAAAACTGGTGGAAATGAGGAAAAGATTACACCTTTTTCTGCTTCTTGTAATCCGTGCTCTCCCGCGTCATATTTATTATCGCCGTCAAGACTTTCTGTACTCACATAATCGCTAAAAGACTCGTAAACTGAAATACATAAAAATATAATAAAAATCTATCCGTTTGCGATCATTCACATATCACACACAAAAACATGATGTCAATTCCAATACTTACTGTTCTTCTTGCCCTTTATATTTAACTGTATGTCATAAAATGTTTCAACTCTTGTGGATTTGTAGTCTATGTTTTTACATTTAATAAAAGAGACCATTTTTCCCTCAAACAATTTTGGCACTGTACCTTCCACACATGTTCCTTTCATTTTGCTCTCCAACTTATCTAATAGCTAAAAATATTCAAAAAATAATTTATATATGCATATACGTATATATAATTATAGTAGGAAATAATTTAGTAATGCAATAAAGCATAATATATTTACCACACGTAAAAATTCCTGGACATCGTGTTGCATGAAAGAATCCAGTGTTTCCCATCCAAAACTTTTAGTTAATTTCTTTGTACCGACAGGTTTGTCAGAAAACTGTAATTCATGAAAAACCCTCTGCAAGGCCAGTGCAACACTCTTACTCGAATCATCGCTTTCTGTTGGCATTTTATACACTGCTTTGCGTAACTAGAAAGAAAATACGGTAATAGAAAGAAAGTTAAAACAAAAAGAATATCGTATTTCTCAAGTTTTTAGTTTACCAACCTGATTTGTAAAATACAGAGTTTGTAGTAAAGAATTCATGTAACATGTAGCACCTTGGTTCTTCAATCCTACATACCCTGTATGTTTTTTACTGTCCCAACTGACTCCGTGAGGTGCATCAGCTACTACATGAACCTGAACAATGAGTAATAAACAGATAAATTATATATATATATATATATATATATATATATATATATATATATATATATAAACAGCAAAATATTAAAAAAACTACATATGATGTGAATAAATTTTTTTACAAAAATTGTATAATTTCAGCAATAATACAAATTAAATAATTAATAAACAGATAAAGAGAAATTATGAAAAAAGTTACAAACAAGTTACAAAGTTACTACAGTATTTAAAAAATATTTACTAATAAAGATACATTACAAACCTCAAGCGTGATTGAATCATCTTTGATAAAACCTTTATCAGGATCTAAAACGTCCTGCCATGTCATGAAATGGCTAAAGCCCCAATCATTCTCTTTACTATAGAAAAGATGTTGAATTTCTATAAAAATACAAATTTCATTATTGCAAAACAGAAGTATCATTTTAAAACAAAATTATGTTTGTGATATATGTTAAAATAAGAAAATTAAAGAAGAATCATATTTACTTCTGCTAAATAGCTCATGTCCTTCTTTACACGAAAGAAGACGTAATTCAGCAACAGCATAACAACTCCATGATGTTGATTCACTCTCTCCATTACACTGAAGGAAAAATCCAAGCGATCTCTGCGGTTGCCTCTCTTGTGTCTGACTTGATCGTGGCATTACCATTATTTTCCATGGTAAATTGCGAACATAACACGCAGGTGACAATTGTGAGTCTTTCATCTTGGATACATTCTCTACAGTATATCGAAAAGTTGCTTCGGATCGAGCCTCATCTAAAAAAATAATAAAAAAAAGAAATATGAAATGTATAATAGGATAAACAGAATAAATACATAAGTAGGGAAAAAAAATTAAAAAAATATATATCAGTTAATACAAAAATGTTACATATATATATTGTAAATTTGTTTTTAAATTATAAAATAATTTAGACAAAGTCGAAATATAAAAAAAAATCAGTATACCTTCTTCCATCTCTTGATCCTGAACTATACACGCTAATTCTGGTTCACCATTTATAGGACGATTGTCTGTTCCGTCCCCCCCACCATCGTTTGGAGTTTCTACAAGAGTAATATCTATTTTTTTTTTACCAGTAAAACAGATAAAGCTAACAAATAATGAACGATATTTACGCATTATAGACTAACGCAAGTTAACCTTAAATTTCACGATGTAGATATATAAACGATATAAATGTTTATGCAATTGTGTTAATTAATTAATCAATCCGCAATATACGCATACTAGACATTTACGTATACATTGAAAATATAAATATAATACATTTTTGTACGCAAATATTACAACGTAACGCAATATTGATAAGAAGTAATTAATTTACCTAAAGCTGCATGGCAATTCTGCAAGATCTTTTTTATAAGCATATGAAAATTACAACTTATAGAATACTTCATGTGGAATGTTTCGTTAATAAATAATTATCACAGTGATGATTGGTCGAAGAGCTATTAATAAAAAAAACTTAAAAAAAAAACACAAAAACAACAAAATTTATCAAATGAAGATCATTAAAATTATTATAGGTTAATTCACACTTCGGATTCGCATTAATATACACAATATATATATATTTTATTCTAAACTAAAAAATGCATCGTATGCGAAAACAGAATTGTCAATTTATCATGTAGAAAATGACAGATGAAACATAGTGACTACTTGTTCAGTAGCTGCATGTATAAAGTACAATTTTCTTTATCAGCAGTACGATTAAATTTATTTATCCACGAAAATTTCCGATAATGAAATCGTGACGTAACATTCTACACCTGCTTATGTGAAATCAGGTATATATTTATCATTTTACTATAAAATAATGTATATTATTTAAGTGGCATTCGCGTTGTATGTATATCTCACGGAGAGAAAATCTCGCGCGTGAGAATCTCGGACTTCAAATATAATAAAATAGTAATAAAAAAAAGTTGGAATAAATATATAAAAAATAAGACAATCTGCAATATAATATAAATATTATCGAATGCAATATTACAGAAATTGTCGTGTCTAATGTGGAGCGCAATTTTTGGGACTCCTGTAAGGAACATAAAAAAAAGATGTGAGCGATTTTTTTCTCTCTTGAAAAAAACCTATGGATATTTTTATAATATAATCATCATATCGCCAAGTCGATAATAAATCTTCCGTTTCCGCGAACCTAAGTGAAATGAAGATGAAGAAAATGTGATTAATCGTTATCGACGCTAATTAACACCCATGGAAAGCTAGCTGTACACGTCCCTTATATGTCACGTCGCACGATGTGCCAACAGCAGCAACGGCAACGAACGGATCTATACTCCTTGGAATAATTTCGCGAATGCACGTAAAGCGATCTTTCGCGAGTCTCTCCTTCTCTCTCTCTCTCTCTCTAAATATAAAAATGGTTGGGCACATTGCTTACCGTTGGACAGAAAAAAAGAAGGAAAACTCGGAAAAAAGTAGCGAGACGCGCGACAAAGAGAGCGTTCTCTCTCTCTCTCTCTCTCTCTCTCTCTCTCTTTTTCTCTCGTCGAGAGCGCTCGCTTTTACGTTCTTAGCGAGGTGAGACGAGAGAAAGAAAGAAAGAGAGAGAGAGAGAGAGAGAGAAAAAGAGAGACGGATAAATAGATTCTAAAGAAAGACAGAGATCGAGAAGCGCATTCACTCACCCTCCTGCGTGTCCATCTCCTCGACCTCGTTAACTTGAACGGGTGCGAGGCTGAGCTGCTTGAGATTCTCCTGGTCGTTTACGTGGTTCATCGCGAAGCCGATGTTGATGGTCGTCTTGATGGCGCCGGGTACCTCGGTGACGGCCTCCGCCGTCGAGGTTACGTTGTCCGCGTTGATCGGTGCCTGCTGCTGTTGTTGATTGTTGTCCGCTGCTGGTTGCGCGGTCGCGAGCGATGAGCGATTCCGACAAGGCGGAGTTGTCGTTGTCGTTATCGTCGTCGTCGTCGTCTTAGCGAGTGCTTTCTTCACCTGATGTACCGTGGCCGATGATGTACGATGTTGTGGATATTGCTGTTGCTGCTGCTGCTGCTGCTGCTGCGGTGGCGGCGGCGGTGGCGGCGGTGGCGGCGGCGGCGGCGACGATTGCCGTTGCTCTGTTCCTACGGTCACCCGGCTGCTGTCCAAGCTCACGTCGCTACCGGGACTCGACAGCGACGTCGCTTTACCGCACTCCGACGATAGATGTTTGCTCGCAGTTCGCCCAATTTCTGCGGCCATCAAGTGCCCCCACTCGCACGGGGGACGCCCACAGCATATATTCCACCCTGTGTGTTATTAAATCGCTAGGTCCGCGACTCGAGTACCCGTACTACCCGTACACGTACTCTCTTTTTCACGTTCCCCCGAATGTCGCCACGGCTACGATCGCGGCTACCTTCGCGGCGGTGGTAGGAGCGACGACGGCGACGGAGACGTCCGCGACGATGATAGGAACGATGATGGTGCTGGTGCTGCTGGTGGAGCTAGTAGGAGCAGTAGCAGTAGTGGCTGCAGTTGTAGCGGATGGTGCTGCTGCGACCGCTAGTAGTAGTGGTGACTGATGGCGATGGTATTAGTGGCGGCAGCCGTCGTCTCGTTCCGGCGCCTCGCGCACCGACCTCCCCCCTCCCGCGCGCGCACAGCCGATCCGCGAAGAACGGTTCTGGCTACGCCGTTTGACCGGCCCTCGGCGGGGTAATCGCGGGATGCCGACCACCGCGTCGTCGTGATACGACGATGGACGATGATGCTCGCGATCGACGAAGATTCGCTCCGCGTTAGCTCGCTCGTTCGCTTCGCTCTCCCCTCACGTCGGGTGTCACGCACGGATCTCGATCGCGCTTGATTCCGATTCTCTCGATCGACTCACCCGCGACTTCGCGACCACGAGCTTTCACCTGGTGCCCTCCAACGGCTTCCCTTTTTCTTTCTCTCTCTTTCTTTCTCTCCAGCCTCCTTGGTGCTGGACGTTGCCTCGACGAGCACGAACGAATGCGCGCGAGCCGATCCCGTACGTCGTGATCGTCGCTCGCGGATCTTTCTCCGTCACGCGAAAATAAACAAAATGGCGGCGAGTGCGGCGGAGCGGTTGCGCTCGTTACCAAAATGCTCCAATCGCACACAGATATACGTATATGCATATATGAATGTGTGTATGCGACACGCACGGATGCGATATATCCGCGGATAAGTGGATTCACATAGATGGTCTGCTCGATGTTACAGAACGGATCGAAGAAGTCGAGAAAATTTCACCTCGATAAAAGGAAAGATAACAGTTTGTAAATGAATTCTCTACGCGAAAGTTTCTACGTGATTAAAATCCCGATTAACGTTGATATTTTTATGTTACTAGTATTATCTTTGATGATTTTAACAGGTGCGTCGTAATTAAAATGAATACGATAGATACTGTTTGTCGAGATCGAGATGGCGGGAAAATTGAAAATGTACGGAACTGTATTGTTCGATTCGCCAAAAATAACCCGATCGGGAGATATAAATATCTCGGCGACGACACGTTTAACCGTTTATTTCAACATATAAGGATATAATCGAGTACATGTAAATAGAATAGAATTTTTTTTCGTTCTTATTACGAAAACATTCTACCTGAATCAATGTCACACGGTGCGTATGTAAACAAAATAAAATTGTGTGCTTTATGCTTTCGATTTTTTAGAATTTGCAGCGAGTCCTGATTTACGATCGAAATAATTAGATGAACGCTTTATTCCATTGATAGATTTGCATATATGTACGTTTGAAAATGTATCACAGAGTTCAGTAAGAGTTTCAAGACATTTATAAAAGGAGCAGGTAGTTATTAAGATGACCATACGTTACAAGAATTACATAAATGTCTCGAATAATCTCTCATTGCATATCAAATCATGTCAACTTAATAAGCATTGATAATTAGATATAATTTATAACATATATGCATATAGAGTACCTTAATAATCGAAAACTCTGCCAAGTCAAAATTGTATATTTTGAAAACAATTTATTTATAGGCAATAAATAATCTATGTTGAACAAGATTGCGCTTTCATGTTATGCTTTGCAATGTTTTTCTATTTTTTCAAATATATAATTAATACAAATAAATCAATCAATATGTGGGTATATATGTGTTGTATGATTCTAACATAAAATTATATCTATAACTTACGATTAAACATTACATATCTATTTATTAATTATAGATACAATTGCAACATAGATTATTTATTTTACATTTTTTTATTTTATTTCTAATTAGACCAAAGATATCTGAATTGAATATAATTTCAATAGATTTGCAAGCATACAGATTGGGTACATAACTATGTATGTAACAATTTAGATAAGGCATGGGTTAAGGCAACCTGCTTGGTAGACTTAAAGATCTTGACCTCAACAATTCTTAATCTAACTTCATTGTTGAAGCTTCAGAATTAGTATGCGAAAGATTTTTAGGCACCTAGATCGGCCTGTTTGCATAGTATAAAGAAGGAATTATCACAAGTTATTAAAGTATACACTCTGACACGAAATGTATCAAGATATATAGAAACACATTTTTCTTCAACAATTTTTTTTAACATTAATTTTTTGATTATTTGTTTGGAGCACGCACGAGTACCTCATCATTTTATATCTTTTGATATTTTACTCGCAATAAAATAATAGAATACATACGCATTTAATAATTTAAGCAATAAACCATTGAATCACATCATTCTTAAACTACTTGCAATTCACTTAATATCTAACACGTACATTATATATTTGTTTTTTCTTTTTTAATACATTATGTTGTAATAAGCATAAGCATTCTCTTTCTTCTCATTAAACATTCTGCACTCTTGGAACTTTTTAAGCGTATTAAACTCCACTCTCTCTAAGCACATACATTGTTACGGAATTTAATTTTTATACATAATGTATATTATATTGTTCATTAACATATAATTACATTATCTTCTCTTGTTAATAGTTTGTATATTGCTTTTTGTCAAGCAGTATATATATATATATATATATATATATATGTATATATATATATAATTTCTATTATTATCCTTTCTTTAATTACTAAATACATAATATTCCCTAAATATAGAGTACCTATTTTTTATATATTAAATAAAACTTTTGAAAATATATTGTAATAAACGATAAAACACATAAATAATAATAAAATAAATTTAATAAAAAAATAATATAAAAATAACATAATAACATAATATATAGTCAAATAATAAAAAATAAATATAATTATAATAAATTATAATCAAACAATGAAAATAATGAAAAATACACATTGGTATTTATGAATTTAATATTTGAATAATCATAATTGTATGAAAAAATAACTATATAAATTTAATAATAGTCAAAATTAAGTATTAAGTTATATAACTGCAATATTATATTGCATCACATGTTGCACATGTACACATCTATCCTTCAATTATTTTATCACATTTTTGCTATAGCAGAAATGTTAGATTTAATACTGATACATAGACACGTTATTTGTGCGTGCACACTTGTTATTATGTAACAATATTGTATATAAGTTTGGGGTTTTATAATTAGCCATAATTTATTGTTATTATCATATCTGCAATAAAGTGTTGATAGAAGTGGTAGAACATTTCTATTATCAAGAAGCATTTTGTCACTCTTTAAAATTAATGTACATTATTTAAAACTAATCAATTCATCGATTTAAAATGATAATAGTCATATAATTTCTACTTTTCTTTAATTGTTAACAACTATGTATATAATTATTAATGCAATTATCCTATACGCACAATATTTAAGGAAAAGAGATTTGATACAATGTGTGGATGTGGTCCCAATAAATAAGAATATAAACTTAAAGATATTATTTCTAAATGTTAGAGACTAATATAATTATATTATAATATACTATTATAATGTACTGGCCCAATAATTTATGTGATCTATGATTTACATCTAGTTAAACAAAAACATTCGTTTTAAATTAAAAGAAAGCAAATTTTTTCAACAAAGAGAACAATCTAACTTGCAAATGTTAACTTCCATTTTTAGTAATAATTTATTTATAAATATTTTCCTCTGATATTCATAAAATCAGTATTTTAAAATATTATGCGTAAATTCTTACTTTTTTTAAATTTCCGAAATAATAATCAAATATTTACCAACTATTTTGATAAATATTGTAATATATACATATTAATAGTTATTGTAAAATTGACATAATGCAAGATTTATAAGTGTCTCATTATTTTTGTAATTTCTTGGCAAAATTGAAAGAGTGCCACATACATGTAGTCAAATGATATTTTACTTTATATAAGTCCTCATATAAATTCTCTAATATACATGTGGCACAATACGTATATATATATCGGAAATGACCGACGATACATTTACAAAAAATTGTCACATCATTGTCTAAATTACTAAACGATTTATTTCACTGCTTGACTAGATTTTTACAGTGTTTTAGGTAATAGTAATCTACTATATAAATCTCTCTTAGCAAAATGTTTCTGATCACGTTATAAAAAAATGGACAGACTTAGTGAATACATAAATCGAACGAAAGGAACGTGGCATCTATTATGAAAATGATCATTTAAGCGATCATTTTCTCGCTTGAGATACTACAAATTCGGCAAATATCTTTGTATATATCTATATATCTGTATATATATATATATCTACAAGAACATATATTTATGCTTCCACAATAGTCTCCAATTTTTTTTATTGAATCGAACAAACCTTTGAAGTTCCGAGAGAATCATCCATTGCCGCCGCGCGCCTCCTAATGCCTTCCAGATATACCTCGCGATTGAAAAGACCAGCACCAAGCGGAATTCTAAAAATAGATACCTAACATGTATGGAGATTGTTACCGGTATATATATGTTACGTGTAGAATTATTTGATAGAGCTATATGACCTTCGTTCTTTGAAATGTCAATAGATGATAGATACGTACGTATCGATACCAGGTCTCAACGTAGTCTTAAAAACTCCCCAGACCGGTTTGTGATCCGAGGTGCAAATACTAGGAACGGAATCATATACCAAACATTCTATAGCTCCGTCTTTATACGAGCTGGCACTCTCATGACTAACACGTCTGATGTATCCTCTGGTATGACCTTTCCCTTTGAAAAGGATTCTATCGGTATACGCAGGAGTGCGTTGCTTGCTGCTAGAATCAAAATTCTGCGTTCCCGGATCATATTTATAAGTAGGAGGAAAGGTGATTGGAGCTTCTTCAAAACCACGTAATACCGCGCCTTCGTTTAGAATAATTTTCAATTGATCCTTGCGCAAGTTTATCGGCGACTCTTGCGGAAAGCACGTATTTGTGATCCACTGAATCACTTCCTCTCTCGACTGAGCTAGACGGAAGTTTAAGTCACCGCACCAAAATACACAATCGAAATTTTGCGTTACATCTGAAAAATATCACATTTATTTATTATTATGCAGTATACAAAATGCAAAATTATCGATATTAAGTAAGATAATTTATTTCCGCGCTATTTTATCTCGCGCTCGGCTCTTATTACAGTCTATTTTTATTGTCTTATTTAATAAGATTCAGAGCCTTATCGAATTTGTTAATTATCAATATAACACTTTTAGCATACCTTTGCTTTTGTGCCTGGTAGGTAGTTCTTTGGGAAGGTCAAGATTTCTAATGATTCGCTTTATATCATTAACCCGTTCTTTCACCTTATCTTGATGTGCGGTCAAGTGAGCAGTGACGAAGAGAAAGCTAGTGCCAAATATCATGAGAGCTATCGCCACCGCACCCTTCGTTCTAAATGCCGTTCCGGTTCTTGTCGAGAAGCTATCTTCCTCCGGAATGGAGCAGAACCAGACCAAATCTCGTCTCAGAAATAATGCGAGATGAAGTGTACCGAGATTACTACTAGTGAGCAATACGTGCGATGGTCCAAGTGTTTCCTGCAAGGCTGCTTCCCATTCATTTCGTTCGGAGCATGACTCTTGCGTTCCTATAGCTAGCAAATCGGGAACAGTCTCTATGTCGGATGGCAACATAAAATCGTTCAATTCCTTTGGCGGAGTCTGACCATTCATGTTCCATGTGCCGATAAAAATTTTCAATTCTCGATTCGGCAATACTTTCTCGAGTTCAACCGGTCCTAATAAAGAATTGGCGGCGATCCTTCCGTGAAGAAAATTTCTGCGAAATTGAATTCGATTGATCATTGAAAAAAAAAATAACATAATATATAATAAATCTAAATTTCCTAAGAAAAAGAATATATACCTTTCTCGTGCTTTCTGAGTAGGAATCAAATTAAGTACTTGTGCAGCAAGTAACGATTGCTTCGCCAAGCTATCCATAGATGTTGTTTGGCAAAAATAACGATCTTTCTTTTTGGATAAAGCATCGTGCGACGTTGAACGTGGCTTATGTTGGATCGGTGCACTTTTAATAGATTCTGGACTAGAATGTCTCATAGAGTTTGTCGGTGAGTTTACAATCAAGTTATCTGCAGATCTTCTATGAAGCAATCTACGACGTAATTGTCCCGATGTACTCGGCGAAAGTGACCCGGAAGAAGAGTTTTCACCTGAAACAGTTTAATAATACATTATATATGAGATTCTATTAAATGGGAAATCATACATCACATAGTTGCGCCAAAAAAAAAAAGATCATACATAATTTTGGAAGCAAAGAACATATGCTGATTGGACAAATATATTTTGTGCCTAGACATTAGATTTATAATAGTATTATGATATGCCTTAATGAAAGTAAATTGCTTCAATTACCGCCTACTACAATCTCAAGATACAGATCACATTCTAAGATACAGATTTACAACATCATAAAAATTTGTTAACATTCAATTGCAGGATGACTTATGAATTTTAAAATCTTCTTATGCAATCTAACAAATACATATAGTTAAAATTATTTAATTAATACAATTATATATATTTCGAATTAGAATAGTTCATGCTATTTGAATCAAGCAATTTATCATACTAGACTTTTAAAGTAATAATGATGTTGTTCCAACTCTCTCTAGATAAAACCTAGCATATAAAATCATCCTATTAAATATATCCTAATATTTTTTATAATTTAATTAGAAAATAGAAATACATAAAATACAAACAATTACAGATGCGCATATCATAGCAACATTATAGCATTAAACATATATCTGTTACTTACTAACATTTATGCTTCTAATCTAATCTAGATATAAAATAATTGTATATAATTTCCTAATAAAACTAATATATATATATATATATATATATATATATATATATACACACAAACATGTATACCGTCAATTTAACAACTTTATAATGCTGAAGAGAGAAAAGTTATACCCCATTAAAAAAAAAATGTAAAACAGCAAAAAAATAAGAATTAAAATTTTAAGCAGCATATAAATTTCGTGTATCGTATTATACCTTCTTTCCCCGGCTTTTCGCTAGCAGTATCATGATACTGAACCATACTGTAAACATCCAAAGGATTGTAGAACTGCCGTTCCATTTCCAGGAAGAAATAAGTGATATACTTTCCCTTTGTAAAGTAATCATCCTTAAAGTATTTCTGAATTTTTTCAGACTCAATTATACGTTCATTTTCATCTTCTGAAGATTCTTCAAATGATTCTTCCGTTGAGTCTGCAGAGAAGTCACTATCTTCACTACTCTCTTGAGAAACTACTTTTGTTTCTTTTACTAAAAATTTGCACGTATCGCTCGAGACACTAGCATTATTAGAAAAAGATTGTAACATTGCGCTATTTGAATCAGGACTCTTTGTTTTATTATTATGGAACAATTTATCAGTATCTCCTAAATATAACTGAGAAGTTATGTTTACGTTTTCTTGTTTTAAAAATTCAATTTTTGTATTTATATATCTATCTGACCCTAATTTAGAATCCTGCTCATTTTCTGTACCACTGTTATACTTTTGACAATCTGCACTCTCATTATCAGCTATAATATTACATCTAGAATTTTCATTTTTGTCAATAATTACATTTTTACAATCTCTTTGCATATCTGACAAATTCTTGTATTTATACTTTTCTTTTTCAGATAAAATATTTTCCACTGTTATATAAGTTTCACTATTTTCGTTGTTCGTGGTTTCGGGTGCAATTTTTTGATCAAAATTACAAGATACACTTTCCAAATTGTCAGTTTGTTGGTTACTAACTGTTTCTACCTGTCTATAGAATTCTGTCTGCCTTTCTAATTCGTCTTCTTTTTTAAACACATTTCGCAATTTGTCAAGGAAAGACTTCTTCCTCTTTTTTTTATTTGGATTTGACATTTTTAATGGATTATTCACACTTTCAATAACCAAGAGAGAGAAACATGCACACGATGTGTGTCAAAGATAAGATATTAAAGATAACTGCCTGTTACTAGAGCCACGTCTACAATATAATCATAGCTTTACATCAATACATACACTGGAAGTGTTATAGTCTGTTTTGCACAGGCATTAGAATGTAAAGTAGAGAAGGGGAATATGCAAGGTCATCTGAGCATCAAACCATATGACACCATGTACATATAAAGAAAAGGAGTAATGTTTAAGTGGAATTAGAGATGAGGTAATGTTGGAGCCTTTTAGTATTGAGTAGCCTTTTTCATAACATTTTATTTTAGAATAAAATATTAGATTCTACTATATATGTATTAATATGATTTTATTATTCAATCAAAAATTAGAAATGCTTATTCATTGTAACAAAATACTCTTAATATGCAAATTTCTACCTAACTCATTAATAAAAAACTTGATTATTGTAATGGGAGAAAGAGAAATGTATTTTCAAGCTTACCTTCTATGTAAGAACTATAACGCTGCTCCTTCCTCGCTGCTACTTTATTTCTTTTGACTACAATTTCTTGAGCCATCTGTGCTTGATCATTCGCAATATGTATTTCTTCTTTCTCAACTAGGACATCAGTTTGACGATCCCCATTGATGGAAGCTACCTCGGATTTGACCGAGGTACGACTTAATGTCGTTGGAGAAAGTCTACTGACAGTCAAACTCTGGGGTGGCGTTCTGCTACGTTCAGTCATGGCGCAACACAGAGATAGCTTAGTGCTAGTTTGAGATCCATGTTGTGAGTTTTCTATCTTAGAATTTTTGTTCGAATCCCCGTCTTTGTACGATGACTCCAGACAGCCGACCTTGGTCTTCTTGTTCATGAGTATACGACAAAGAGACTTTTTCTTCTGTTTTGATTTTGGGGATACATCTACTTTGGCGATATTTGAAACACTAGAGATGTCATTTCCATCGCACTGCTCCATAATACTCGCAGCTAATGCATTTAGTACAAAAGATCAGTGATTATACTTTTTACAACATTATTCTCCTTGATTCTTTGAATATTATAAGATCAATTTGTATGGTTATGCTATACTTAATACAAATTCTTTTCTCATACAATATATATCAAAATATATCAATGAATAATATAGAAAATTTTCAAAGAAAGAAATATTTTTTTCTTCTATATTCAAATGATCAATAAACACACTTTCACATAAAGTAAAGGAAGTTAATATATCTCTTGTTTGCCGTTATATACAACTAATGTCTGAAATTTCTTACACTGTCAATGTTGGTATTTAAAATCGTCGTTCTTTATGTCAATCGCTTGTGCTTCAATAAATATCAAAGTTTATATCTGAATTCATCCACAGAATCAATTGCAATATAATGCATTATGACATATTTTGTAAGTACTCATCTCATCACATAATGCTTTGGTATCAATTCCATTTTCAGTTAGCTATTCTATTGTGGAATTACATCCAAACGTTTAATGCGAATAGATATCGATTCCACCCGATGATTATCATAAATAATATTGTACTTAAAATGAATAATACTTTTGAAATCTGGACTAGAGTCGAGAAAACAATTGTGCAACTGTAAAATATAACGCCGACGTATCTATTGAATCCGCATATCCTGCTGCCAGCGCAGTTGCACTTCCTTACAGGAGGAATCCATCAGACGAGTCACATCTGATAATCACATCGCTTCTCATTCAACATTTCGATCGACCGATCACATTCAGTATACATTTTCGTATACATATTTCAGAGAGTCTGATTGAAACGTCGAGTAGTACTATTCGATTCGCGTGTGTTTATTTTACTACATGTGTAGTATGTATATACTATACATACAAACAGATTCGGCTCGCATCGACAATCGGCATCGACACGTCATTCACAACCGAAAATCCACAACAAAATCGCCGTGATTCGATCGAGCGCGTCTTCGGTCCACTCTGACCTCAGCCTCCATTCCCGTAGCGACGACCTGTCAGGCACATCGCGCGTCCTCAAACTGCGGGCGTACATTCCCTTCATTTATCTCTCGCCGCAAAACGCTCACAAACGATACCGCGATTACGACCCGCATACTTCGGTGCCGACATGACTCACGCAGCCGTTGCGCAGCAGACGACGGCAGATGAATCCGCCGAATTTAACGATCGATGAATCCCCCGCTCGCACCCTTGTACGAATGAGGGGTAAAAAAATGGCCGGGAATCGCTTTTTCGAGGGAGGGGAGGAGGAAACGCAGAAAGACGGAAAAGCGCGTGAGAAATCGAGAGAACGCGGCACGCTCGACGGGAGATCCGCGATAGCGCACAAATGTCAAATCGAGCAGACGACAAGGACGGCCGCCATCTTGGATCCGGCGCTGCCGCGCCAGAAGTAGCTAGAGTATCGCCAGGCGTCGCGTTTCGATGTTTTTACCTCGCCATATTTATTTCAGCGGACCAATAGCGGACTGTTCGTATTTAAAATATTTTTTTCGACACTCAATGCTTATTTTTAGCGTCAAAACACGTCATGTCAAAAATGACAAATTGATATCTTTATTTTATTTTTTGCTGTCATTCTTTTTATTTTTACTGCGAAAAATATCTCATATGCGTATCTGCCCGCATAGACCAAACATGGCTGATCGCATCTACCTCTCTCTATCTCGACTCTATCGTATCACACACCAATACGCACGCAGGCAGACATACTTTATTGGCCAGCGGCGGGTTGCGTCGTGATGATGTTTTGTTTACATCGGGTGCGCGACGACGACCGCGACGATTACGACGACAGCATCCAGGATGCTCGACGAAAATGCGAATGAAGAATCGGCTCGCAACGGCAGATGTAAAGGTAATAAAGATTGTTTCGTCTTTTTTTCTGTCAGGCTTTCGATCGCGCGTCACGCTTAAGGCGTTCCCGCGAAATTCCCGGCCGAACAGCTGATGAAGGGAATTTGCGCATCGCGAAATTACGCTACAAATTTACATCAGAGTTTGCGGGGCGAGAATGTGATATAACATCGCGGTCGTAAAGGTTTCCCCGCGAAGAAGCAATCGGCAAGAGATCGGAGATTGACGAGGCTTCGTCGCGCGTTTCGCGCCCCGGGAATGTTCGAGAAAGAGGCGAAATAAGAGCAGCTGTCATCCCACACACATACATATATGTGTATATATATATATACATACATGGCACCCATTTACGTCCTGCGCCTTTCGCGCGAATCCCCGTTTCCGAATAACAATTTCGAATATAGCACCCTGAGAACAGAGGGAGCGACCTTGGTCATTGCGCTCGATTAGGTATCGACAAATGGGTTACTACCAGCAACGGTTACGAACTATTCTTCAAAAGCGAGTATTAAAATAAAACTGAATTTCGGGACTATAATAAAACATCGATAACTCAGGAAAACTACGTGCGTCCTTGTTTTAGGAAGGGAAGAATAATTCTGAAATCTCATCACTAAGAGGTTTACAAAATTGTAAACAATACGCGTCGCATTGCGACAGAAATAGTATGAATGGTACAAATTCATTAAAGTAATTTCGTGAAGTTTAAATATCAATATTGTAGAAAGTGTAATCGCGAGGAAATGATTAAAATCATCATACGTTGTCAATTTGAAAAGCTAAAATTCTATATAATACTTTCATTTGTTCCGTCTTTTTTTCATACTTTAAATTTTATTTGAAATTCTTCCTTCAGATTATTTTACACTTCCTTAAAATCATAATTATATACAATCATTAATTAAAAAAATAAAGTCCCACAAAGAAATATAGATTTTGAAATTGTTAAAAATTTATTTTTAATTTTGATCTGATAAATTCCACGATTGATAGATTAATAAATCCGCTCTCTCGTGGGAATGAATTTGTCGAATTAGATTTCACTTTGCATGGGATTTTTTTCATTGGAAAAAGATTTGCTGGCATTATTAAAAGACTCGTAGTTAGATTTTTCCAAAAGGGACCGATCTACGACAAAATATTTTCCAACGCGAGACGCGAGGGGGTCAAAGCGATCGAGAAACCCTCGGCCGCTCCCGTTGTGTTTTCCTCGCGTCGTGTCGCGTCGGCTCTCCCGAAAACGGAAACGTGAGTCGCGCCGCCACCGCCAGGTGTCGGGCCGGCGTACGATACTGGTTTGCTGTGTAGACGGCCACCATTGTTGAAACACTGCTTTGGTTGATGCCCCGACGATTTTCGTGGCGAAAATCGTCAATTCGCCCGTGCGGAAGGGTCTCGTTGCGGTAGGTGCGCGTCAAAGGACGTACGGAATACGCGCGTCGCGACGACGGTGCGTTGCTCGCGAGCTGCGCGGGCGAGATCGCGACGATCGGGCACACGCATCTCGGTAATAGTCGTCTGTAATCGTCGTCATCGTCGTCGTAGTAGTACGGGGGAAGAGACGGCGTGCCCAACCGGGAAAAACGCAGTGAGACTCGTAGTGCGTGGCCATCGATTTGCACGAAGGAGAGAGAGACGGGACTCGGATCGTCGTTTCTCCGCGTGTCGCGATTGTCGGCGCGATCGGATCCGCGGACACCGGATCGCGCCCATGGTCGGTGTCGGAGTCGGTGCGACGTTAGAACGTGCGTATCGTGCGTGTTGCCCGCCGGTGACAACGCGACGCCGCACGTAGTGCGTGCGTACCTACGTTCATTCTCGCGCATCGTCTTCGAGAGTGTGTGCATGTGGGGGTGTGTGCGTGCGGCGTGTGGATGCGTGTATGCGTGGATGCGTACGTGCGTGTGATACGTGCGTCGCTGGTGCTGGCGTGCGGCGTGAAAAGTGCCAGGCGCACCGGGTCGTCCCTTAATAAACGGCGCCACGATATACTCGGCAACCGCTACTTGGACGATACTTGTGAAGTTGCGACACACGCGTGCGCGCGCGCGCGCGCGCACCACGGTACGTCGTCGTGCACGCATCGGCCGGCGGTGACACGCGGCTACTCCGAAAAAAAAATATATATCCGCTGTCGCACACACGGGCGCCTCCTTTCTGCGTCTCGTTCGGATTAGACTCTCTCTCTCTCTCCCTCTCTCTCTCTCTTCGTACTCCATTCGCGTTCGCGCGGCGATGCTATCGATGTGTGGTACATAGAACCGCGCAAGTGTGTACAGTGTGTGTACGTGTACGAAGTGTACAGTACGCATGGAATAAACGTGTCCCCGTCGTCGCTGTTTGCCTTTCGCGTGTATACGTGCGTGTCGTGCGCGCTGTCCGCTCCCTCTTTCCGTGTCTCTCGCCTCTCTCCCTCTCTCTGTCTTTCTTTCTCGCTTTTCGAACGGTGTGTACGCGCATACGTGCGTATGTACCACCGGAATTCGCGAACGCACGCCACGAGTTTGCGAGGTACGCCGATCAGCGAAGCGGCGTGCGATACCGGAACAGAGTGCCTCGTGGACGATGTCGGATCGGATCGTCCGGTTGCAGTTTCGCGACGAACCGTTAGACACGTTTTCACCTCCGCCGATCGCCGGTCGCCGCCGCGAAGCTTCCACTCGAATTTTCGCGATTTCTTCCTTTTCTCTCTTCGTGAATGCGCAAACATTGATGTCCCGATCGCGACAATCGCGATTCCAATCCCCTAATGCCGATTAATTTGCGACAGGTTTGCACGTTCCTGCGACATCCTGAAAAAAAGTTTTCCGTGTGAATACTTGTGCGGTAAAAACACGCCAACATAAGGAGTATATTGCTCTTTTGTGGCGAACTCGAAAGTGAATGTAGTAAATAATAGACGTTTGATAGTTAATGTCGATGGGTCGTATGAATAAGAACAAATGCTTGGTAAAAGTAAAAGAAGCGTTAAACGTGTTTTTTAAAATGATGAGAAATATGAAAGTGTATTTTATGTCTCTTATAAATATTTCCTTGTCTTTACTACAAAATATTTATTTTGTGCCTTGAAATATTTATCTTGATAAATCAGCGCAAATATGTTCTGCATTTTATTTATACGAGTCAATATTTTTTACCAGAATATAAGCTGCTATCTATAAATATCAGTTTAATAGTTTACTTGTTCTGTTAAAAAACATTATTGCTTTGCTCCAAATTGAATTACAGTCATTGTATTTTATTATGAATGCGTAAAGAATAGAAGAAGCATTCTTATTCTTTGAGATTATAAAATTTATTTTTGTATTATATATATAATTATATATGTATATATATAATGTGACTATATTCATTAGCAATAAAGTAACTTATTTAGATCAATTAAAATAACTATAATATTGTATAAATATATAAAAGAATATATCTTTAAAGCAGCTGCAATATGTTTATATATATAAAAGAATATATCTTAATTTAAAGCAGCTGCAATATGTTTATTCAAATCAGAGTGAGAGAATGTTTCTGTTATGATTACAGAATCTCTGCATGTATCTAAACGTATATCACAAGAAGAGACATTTAAGTTTCTGGATGTAGAGCGATATTACTTCTTCTCTCAAAATATTAATGAGCGAGATAATAAAAATCCAGACCTTCAGTATGGTGTGAGTTGTCATGACTCTTCTATTGTTCCCAACAATGGTAAAATATAATCATTTTGTTATCATTTTCCTATATATATTTTCTATTAAAATCAAAATAATTAAAAATATGATAATTATGAAATATGCATTTTATATTAAAATACAAACATACATAATTGCAAAATAAATTTTAATACAATATCCATCTAATCTGTGGCTTTCTTTCTTTTTTTATATAACTTAAGCCCCATTTTCTTTTACAATCCAATTAAATTTTTAGATATGAATTATAATAAACTTTTTATTTTTAGGAATACACATATTTGACGTTGCGCCACAATGGGCGCTATCAAACAATTTGCAGTGGATTGATCTGCAAGCATTGGTAGCACATAATACTGTGCAAGACATATATGATTTACATCACAAAGAGAAAAATATCACGGAAGCTAGTAATCTAAGTTCAATATATTCTACAAAGTTATCGCAAACGGCACAACACAATGATAGGATAGTGAATTTTAATATACTAGATAGTACGGTTAATAAATCACTATCCGGACAAACGAGAAAACTGCAGAAAGAACAAAACGATAGGCTGGATAACTACCAGAAGGATTTTGGTGTAGAGACAAAACTTAAATTATTAAGTATCAATAAAACGACGGAATCCATACATTCATTCACAAAAAATCAAACCAAAATTTTGCCTGAATCGAGGAAAGAAATTTATCATGATACAGATATTAATTTTTTTAATTGTATGTCAAAGTATTCAATTAATACGCAAAATGTCGAAACTGAATTGAAACTCGCATCAGACAATATTGAGCACAATAAGGAAAAGGAAGTTTGCAACTCTGATAGTACTATTTCTGTAGTCGTTAATGAGCCACTTGATTTAGTAATACATTCGAAAAAAAGTACACAACGTAGTCATAGTGAGGCAAAAGATCGTATCTGTAGTTATCCATATTCATCAATTGGTGATAAAGGGACACTTCTGGATGGTGCCATTTTAAGAAAGATAGATCATTCCCCTAATATACAGACTTATAATGCAGAGTACAAGAATATAGATTATGGTTTATTGAAATTTTTTGATTTAAATGAGTTGTCATCTAATTCAGATAGAGATAAAGAATCATTGAAAACCATCAGTAAGTTGCATACTAATAGCAGTGAAACAAACGGAAGAACTGTAACAAACAACGACTTGAAACAAGAGAGAGCGCATATCTTGGACAAATACGTCACGCATGTATTACCATCGCGTTTAAGTAGTGACAGTAAAACATCGTCTTGGACACATTTGCAGTCGAATGCCAAATGTAACAATATCAAGAGAGAGTATACCAAGGAAGAGGCACGCAAGTCAGAAAATACTGATCTGGTGCAACTGACTGCTTGCATCCCAAAATTAAGCAATTGGGCGTGTTTCGAAATGTCAGGACAGTATCCAGGTCATAGCCGACCACCGGTTGGCACACCTCCACCGCAAACTGTCTGGAATCATCTCACTATGGCACAGGGACAAGGTAATTTAAGTTTCCGATTAGACATCGTAACATTTTGCAACATTCATTCTTGATATGTTAATTAATCATGACGATTTTCAGCTCTCAATATGCACCCAACAGCATTATCTGGTACTGCATTGAGTCCAGCTGGGTTCTACACACATCCATCTATGGCGCGAGCATCCCATCTACCGTCTCAACTTACTCCTCAACTCGCTCATACGCAAGCACCACCGACGTGGCACACACCCACCGTCCCTTCGAAAAGTGTTACGCCGGCTAACACACCGGGCAATCCTCTATTCAACTTACAAATGTTAGTGGATAATCGGCCAAATCAAAATCAATACAGAAACTCGCCCGGTTCGCAGAGTACGTTAGATCTCTCGTCCACATCGGAGATGTCCATTCCGGAGAATTATTCTCGATTACCTCAGGATATTCCTATCAGTTTGACCGCAAGAAACGTAGACAAGGGCAGTCGAAACGGCAATATAATCTCACCGCCGATTCCGCTGAATGGGGAGACTTCGTCAGATAGCGGAATCAGCTCGTCCGTACCGACGCCGAATTCCGTCAGTGAACCGGTCTCACTATCAACGAAAGAGCTCACTACTCCTAAAATAACAGTGAAAAACTTTGAGAGCAATATAAAGGGAGTCGCGAATCTTCACGATAAAAAGGAAATAAATGTAGATAATTTTTCGCAGAAAGTGATAAATTTGCCGCCTAGTGTGACGATAGAGAGAGTGATCGCGGACAAGAAGGAATCCGAAACTGTGAAACCTAAGGACACTCTAAGTGTTATCGCGCAAGTGCCAAGGAATGTCTTACCTGTTATAGTTAATCTCACCAAAATAGAAAAGGATGTTACAGATAGCCCTAAAAGGGAATCCTCCTCCGAGAGAGACAGGAAGCATGACGAGACGAGCGTGAGATCGCCTAAGAATTTACCGAAGAGAGGAAAGAAAGGTGTCGATTCTCTATTAGAGAAATTGGGGGATGGAAATAAGAAGCTTGGAAGTAGCGAGAATATTGGCTCAGTGATTGTAACGCCAATAGAGGAGAAGGACACGTCCAGTGTTAAAAGCATGTCGCCGGAGAGACAAAAGTCTAAATCGCCAAATCGCGAAGATGAGGTCGTATCGCCAGCTTTCAGCAATGACGACTCGAACGACAATACCAAGCAGCGAAGGAAAAGAAAACTTGAAAAGCCTGTCAGACTGAGTAAGGACTCGAAAACGGAAGTTGAAGATATGGAACTCGAACCTACGGAACCCACGGAATCGAGAATTATCGATTCGATATCAGAAGAGGCGGCTAGCTCCGCGCCAACGACTGATTCGGTTAAGACCGAAGAGCAGATTGCTAGAGGAGCGGAAGAGAGAATATCGAACAAGACAATAGTGGATGAGAATGCGGAGGAAATATCAGAGGAGAATCAGCCGATTCGAAGGCGAAGAAGTAGCGATGATACTGCGATTAGTAACTTGACAAATCCGGCGAATCAAAGGGTACGAAGAAAATCCAGTGACGATGCGTCATCTGAATTGTCCAAGGTGACGAGTCCGAAAACCGCGAACAACACAACGACATCGACAACAAATGCTTTTGTTGAGGTCGAGTCAGAACTGGCGAAGATGTTCGCCGGAATAGTAGAAGCGGATTCAGATGTCAAAAATGAAGAATCAAAAGCAGAACTTGCAAATGCGGAAATTCAAGGCGACAGCGATGCTGCGAAAATCGAAGGTCTCGAAAATAGTATTCTGTCGATGACGACGGATTCTCAGAACGCTCAGAACAATCCCATTGATGTTTCTTCAACTGTGGACACAAAGTTATCAGGAAAAAAGGGTAAAAAGAGCAAAACGCAAGGCAAAAGAAAAATATCCAGGTCGTCGGAAAATATTTTCGGCACAGCGAGTGATTCTCTACCGAAGGAAACGAAGAAGAGGCGAATATCTAAAGGTTCGAAGAAACAAGATCAGATTTCGAAGAAGGCAAAGAAAAACACCAAGGTCGACGGCCTCAGGGAGATGGCATATGATTCTGGCTCGAATGCGAGTTCGATTAGATCGCGGGGTCCGGTAGTCCATGTAGAGGGCCCTAGAGATAGTCCATTGAGCATCCAAGTGGTCAATGCACCGCGGGAAGAGGAGGAAGAAAAAACTAAGGAGAAACGAAAAAGCGTCGGCAACGGAAACGGAGGCCGAAGTAAAAGACTCAGTCATCAGAACGATTTAGATTATAGAGGTATATACGATTTAGATTATAGAAGTGTGCACGCGATAGAAAATTGTTCTTACGTTTTTAGTTACGTCTTTAACAAATAAGATTTACTGTATCGCACGTTTTTGACCGCAGGTAAAGTTAGTAGAGCAGGTCTCTTCAGTTCAACTTTATCATCGCGATACGATGCACACACCACAGATTCGACCTGGGTCTGTGTATTTTGTAAGCAAGGTCCTCATTCTGTTATACCCGGAGATCCGTCCAGGCCACATCCGAATTTGGCCGGACCGCACATTGCAACTGGAACATACACAGTATGTATTTTTTTGACATATTCAATATTACACAAACTAGATTTTTAAAAAATTCGCCAAGTTATAAACAAACAGTTATATATTTTCATGACTTATTTTCATAACTTATTTTTTATATCCATATTACTATACTTTTAACTCTATATATATTTAACTGATTCTTATCGTATCGAGCTGAAATGTAATTTTTATACGACAATACAATAAACTAAGTGCATTTGAGAATGAAGCATTTAACACTAAATGCTTCATCTCTGTACATGCGTAGAAGCGTTAGCTGGTAAAATTAGCAATACATTAGCAATACAAATATAATGTGATAAATACGCGCAACAGGTTCCAGCTGGTGTATTAGGCGATTTATTTGGACCATATTTGATCGGCAAAGAACGATTAGAGGATGGTATTTTATCGGCTGATGAACAAGAAATTACGACGGAACAAAAGAAAGGCGGCAAGAATAAGAGGAGTTTAAGGTATGCGGGTTTGGCGGATCAGTTCTCTGCAAAGATGGGTAAGAAAAAACGGAACTCAATTGAAAGTAATACAAATACCATCTTCACGGGTATGACTCTATATCCCGGTGGAGAGGAGCAACGATGGGAAGTATGGCTTCACGAACAATGTGCGGTATGGGCAGCTGGAGTTTACATGGCGGGTAAGACAATGTCGTAAATAATAGAAATATATGTGAAACAATAAGAGAATAAGAGAGTAATATGAAAAATGTGTTTTGCCAGGCGGTAGAGTGACAGGATTACAAGAAGCGGTATGGGATGCCGCCAAGTCGATATGTGACTCTTGTGGCTTGACGGGGGCGAACATTGGTTGCGTGAAACGAGGTTGCAAGGCTGTTACGCATTATCCATGTGCATTGACGAAAGGTTGGCATCTCGACACAAATCAGTACATACCTAAGTGTAATCTTCATCGAGTTACGTGAAACGTTCCGGTGAGTCTGTGAACATAGGCTAATGTGAAAATTAGGTCATATTCACATTATATCACTGAAACCGGCTTTAATTAGATGCACCGAATAAAGGGCAATAATGTAAGAAACTAAGTATATAAATCCGTTTATGACTGAAGATAGCCTTACTAGTTAGTAAGGTATATTCTAGTTAACAAAGCGCAGGAGCAAAACATCTTCATACGCGATACAATCACTCGATATGTAATAAAGTTACATTGTTGATTGGAATGTAAGACCGATTGGCGTGGAAGACCGATATAATTGATGTGACTATAAATAAGTAAAATCTAACAGATGGTTGATTCGATATCCTATCTTCTCTAATAAATATAAATTGATCTTATTTAATGAAATAAATGTGAGATGTTTTGAGATTACGCTTTGTGTTATTCAACGTGTAAGTGTGTATCTGGAGCGTGAAAGTATAAATGTGAAAACAGTTATACTAATTTCCAGACATCAAGTGTAGAATCAATATGCTCGAGAAAAATACTTTCCAATGTACAAGATGTTTAAATAAGAACGCTATTAACTGTCTCTAAGATTTTAAAAGAAAAAAAGAAAAAAAATTAATGACGAACGAAAGTGAAGTAATAGAAACTCTTCTCAATGATTGAATTTAATTGATTTTCTTGGCCTGTGGCCTTGAACAGTGGCCTTTCGAATTAATATAAAAAAAAACAAGATTTTTTTTTATTTTGAATCTGTAGAATAGATGGATTGCTATTGAGAAATAATGATAATCAAAAAGGACGAAGTTTGCTTTTTTATTCATATTTACACGGAAAAACATTAAAAATTTTCTAAATAACATCATGTACGCAGGAATACACAAATAGGGCATATTGTACTGAATGTTATCGAATTCAGAATCTGTAAAATATGACAGCTGTCAAAATTGGACATGCTTAAAATGCAGTAAGATGAGTAAGTCCAAGTAACATATAAGCGAAAATTGAATATTCTCTGTCTTTTCTTTTTTCTTGAAGATCGAACATGTAAGGCAAGTGTTCTCTCAGTGGATGTAAAAAAAAACTTTGTATATATAAAAAATAAAGAAATTATACATATTATTGAAATATTATGATTCAAAATTTTAATAAGGGTTTAAAAAACTTTGTATTTATTCTCATATACAGAATACATGCATGTATTTCATAACAGAATTGTTGTGATAATTAATGTGTTTTATTTTCTTTTGTTTGTGTCTCCACATAAATCATTATCTATATATGTGTGAGTGTCTATGTAAAGTTCTATTATTTTTTGTTATATTTTTATTGATATTTTTTTGTATAGGTTTTTTATCATGCAAATTTTAATTTTTGCATGTTATAAATTGACAATTTCTTAAAGAAAAGTTTTATTATTGCTTGAATAAAACAAAGTGAATGAGAACACTTGTAAAATTTTATTATTTCTGTAATTCTAATAATAAGAAAGAACAAAGAACATACGTCTCATTGCATTCAGTGATACGTTTTATACATTGTCATATTCACTGTCATTTTACTAATGTATCTGTATGATCGTAAAACCAGTGATTCAAATCCACATGTCTACATGTATGATTTATTGTTAATGATTAAATTAACAGCTATATGCATTATTACGAAATTTGTAATAATTATATTGCTGATTTATATACATTATATATTAAAAATTTATATATATATATATATATATATATATATATTTATATATATATTAATTTTTTTCATATTAATATTGTGGTCATCTTTGCTGTCATTGTTGTCGTCATCATCGTTTTCATTGTACTTTATCAGAGCGTGAGAGAGGCAAGTTTTTGCTATGATAAATGTAAGAATATTAACAAGTGATTCTTTTGCTGTATTAAAAAGAACTATATAGCAAAAATCAGGAAAATTGTATAAAAATAATATTATAGAGCTATGTAAACAACATGTATATAATATTAATTTGCGTAGAAAAAAGATATATATATACATATAAAGATTACATATGTGTATATATATATGTATATACAAAATACATAGATATACATATAAATATATACACATGGCACATACAATATACACATCAAATACACACACACACACACACACACACACACACACATACATATACATATACATAAACATAAGTATATTGAAAATAGTTGTCACATCTTCTCCTACAGCACAGAGTATGATATAAATTAGATATAATCATTTTTAAATAGTAACTATATATTCTCGGAAATGGAGATAAAATTATTGAGCGTATAAAAAGATTCTTTGTACATATATAGTGCATAGCAACAAATGTAAAAAATATCTCTGAAAACATTTTATTTAGAGAGGCATATAAACTCTGTTTTGAAAAATAATAAAAGCTATGACACGTTCACACTTCGAGAAAAAGTACACAAAGCCTAATTTTCTTTTCACGACACTTTTTGGGACATCACTTTCGACGCTCCTCGATGTTAAGAACGGTCTTTGTATAAAATGGATGCAGATACAGCCAAAAAAAGAATACTAGATGTGTAATAAGAGAGATATTAAATTGTGTAAACGAAACGCTTATACTTACTATGTATGAAAAAGGGAAACAAAAATTTTATCGTAGAAAAATAACTGTAAAAATATATATATATATATTAATCTTATTACTTGTGATACAAAGAAAGAAAGAAAGAAGACAAATTCCGTAGTGAAACGGTCCGACAAATGAGATATTCCAATCATATTTCCATCATCGAGCGACTCTGCGTACACAGAGCGGTTCGCGTGCGCACTCACGCATCCTCATGTACAGTAGAATTTTTGTAGTAAGTCAGTAATATAGGATTGTATACATATTATCATTTAGATCCGTATTTTGTGGATAGATAAAGTCTAAGGACACAGATATTGCATTACCAAAATTGTAGAGAATCCCTTAAGAATGATATTTTTCTCTCTCTGTACGCAGAATCGTGCGCGCCGAAATTGCGCTATGAAAGATAATTTTTTCGCGTTTATCATTTCGAACAATTTGTATAAATGGATCATACTTTTTTTTGGCTTGTAAATTGCACGTCGAAGGTAAGATGCGTAAACGCGAGGCGCCGCGATGAGAAGAAAGCGCAAAAAAACCTAAATATCACAATGCCTAAGTAATTTGTATAAAAAGACAAATCTCTGTAAAGTAAAAAAAAGAAACTGTCGCGTCGTGATATGTGGGTGTAAGAGAAAAAAAATAGCGCGTAATAGGCAGCAACAAAAGATGCATCGTATAGTATTCGTATAATTAAATGCGAAAACAAAGAGTATGCATCTTTTTTTATTCCTACACTTCATATATCTTATTTTAAGTTTAATTTTTGTCTCAGAGCTTTTGTTTCCATCTTTGATTTTCTTCACTTTATTTCTCTTTCTTTATTCTTCTCTCTGTGGCTTTTGTCTGTCCCGCGTAGTTTTCTTCTTTCGAGTCGGATAAGTGTACCTATTTTTTTGTGACCTGGTTTAATGTTAATAATTATTAAGAAGAACAAGATTGATTAAACTCTATTTAATAATATGGAATGGTAGAGAAATCGAATTGTATTTGAGATCAATACAATAATACGATTAAGTATACATCTTTGTGTAATATAAATATAATAAATAAAAACACGCTATATATATCTATATATATATATATATACATATATACATATAATGTATTGTAAGCTATATTATAGGTAAATTTTTCTCCTAACTATAATCCCGATGATTACTGATATAGTATTGTAATAATGACAGAATTTTTTTATAATGACAAAACAAAATATGACATTAATGCAAAAATTATTTTCTTATAATTCATGGAGCGTAAAAAATTCTTATTTAAACTTGACGTTGATAATATGGATCTATAAATACAGTACATATATATTCATATAGTAAATATAGTAGCATACATACTGATACTAACGCGAGGGAAAGGTGGGGAATTGATAGTATGGTAATTCGATTAGTTTCGCGGCATCTTTTCTTCGCGTTCTAACGTCACATGGTAAATATGAATAGTGGGAGAAGTATTCAAGAGAAGTGGAATAAAACGTGTCTGAGGAAATCCGGAGTAATACAGAAAAGTTTGACTGTAAGTGTTAATTTTTAAATCACACGTAGTTTAATTGTAAAAAATTGTTAGCCAAAAATCAGACAGAAATTTTTAATGTGCGAGTTAATTAACATGCCATGTCCATAATATTGTTTGTGTATCCTAAAGTTCATTAATCATCTCTTGGTATTTCCAGTATGCAAATAGATAAGTATTTTTCTGCATTTTTATTCATCGTGATTGATGAATGATTTATACATTTTTATCCATCACTATTGCACAAATTGTTAATTATTCTTTTAATTCGCTCTTTTTTTTCTTATGTTTAATTTTGTGGGCATATTAAATGTTTAAATTGATATCATAGGATCAAAGTTTATTGAACAAGTTTATCGAAGAGAGAATTTTAAGAATCTCTATCAGAATGTTTATTCGTCAAACTTTTTGTCGTACGAATATATCAATCTCACAAATGTCATGAAAGTTTTCAGTCATACACGAATAAGCTAAGTACGAGTGAAAATGACTCGACGATTCCGGATAAATATGCTTATTGTATTAAATTACTGAATTCCGATGTATAATCACGATTTATCGATCTGTAAAAATGATTTCAAATTTAAAAACATTTGGCGCGCGCGATTTTTGCTCGCAGAGACATTTCGGCGCATCTGACGTTTAGTGATTTTCTCGAGGATCGTCCGTTCAAGCGCCGACAGATAGCGTTAGCGGTCAACTTAGCGGTTTCAAAAAAAAAAAGCACAGGACAACAATACGCGCGGCTGAGTCCGATGAAAATTGTGGAAATGGTGAAGTTGTGGTGTGGGTGTACTCCGAGTTAGGTGAGTACATTAGCGAGCATATATCATCAAAGTGACGGCGTTATCGAAGAAAAGTGAGAAACGAGACGACTGGTCTGACGTTACGCGATCGCGTAACTTTATATGCTTTCCTTCTCACTATCGTCTCCGAGAAACACTTTGCTGTGCGCTATTGCGAATTGTTTT